AACCGTGAAATCATTCGAGAATGAGCTCTGAGATTTGCTCCAAACTGCTACACTCGAGTCCTCTTCATCCCTCCTCTGATAGCACAGACGCCCTACTGTTCCCTCAGTTCATGGGTCAGGCACCCTCTGATTTGTTCTTGAGTTGACTGAATGTCATAAGTTTGTTTTCTAAGTCTATGAGTCTTTCTGAAAAACGATCAGTTTTTTGGAGACCCAATGAAGCAGAATCTTTGTTTTAGTAAGGCCTGCAGACTTGGGCACACATTACAGTTCAACAAGCACTCCTCTACATACTAAAAACTTGCACATGAGACGCTATTCCAAAGTTAATTCATTAAAGAACTTATTTGGAAGCCCCTCCTTCATGCTACACACTATGTTAATAGAAGGTACAAAAATAAGACTGTCAACCGTGCTCATATATTTCTTACATTAGTGTTCTCAGTGATTGTATGATGTAAATATGTAATTATCTTCATGTATATATAAAACTGAGATTCAGAGAGGCCAAGAAACTTTCTCAAGTTTGCACAGCTAGTCAGTAACACGTGAGGATATATGCTTGGTTTCTAAAGCTGGTTATTGTACTACAAAGCAGGCCTACCCTGATCTTTATACTTTGGAAGTTGATAATTTAGTGGGGAAGCTTTTTAAAATGAAGTGATTGGCTGAATGACCACTGAGTTCCTAAAAATAATAATAATGGTCAATATTTATTGAGGATTACATGCCGAGTACCGTGAGTACTCTGCCAGCATTATTTCATTGACTTCACATGATTGCCATCATTTGCCAAATAGGCAAACTGAGACACAGAGGCCTCTGCTCTCTGACTCCAGAGCTTATACCCTAACCAATCTCCTGTGCTCTGCCAGCCATCATGCCGACCAATCATGGGCCTAAAGAAGTGAATCCGATGCACTCTGGGTGCCTATAGTCCATTGAGAGGGGACTGGTATGCAAATGAGTACAGGTGATTAGATGCTGAGACAAAAAAGATGCCTGGGCCCAGTGGAGTCCAAGGGAGGCCGTGTCATTCTAACATCACAATATCAAGGTGACTTCACTTTCTTTAACAGGAAAAATCAAGCAAGCAGTGAAGAAAATCCTTATGACTCCATGGGCTTGAGTAAAGGAGAAAATAATTCAGGATTCCAAAATAGTGATGATGTTCAGACTTCGTTTTAGAAAAATCTCTTTTATTTCCTCTTGAGGTGATCTTATTGTATGTAAATGTTAATTTCACAGTACAGAACATAGGAGATTATAAGGATGTCATTAAATGTCAAAGCTGTGTCTCTGTTCAGGAAAAGTTGTCCAAAGAAGACATGCCTGAGGAGAGGGCGCCTTCACTTGCATCGCCTTTAGTATTTTTTTCTGCCTCAGGATTTGACTTTTCTGTTTCCTGAAAGAGGTGTTTCTATTTGAGAATAGAGAAAGTTTGTCTTTTGCCTCACACGCTGTTCAGGGGTAATAGAAATGGAAATGTCCGTTGTGTTGCTGGAGTTGAAAAGAAAGGAGACATGGCAGGAGCAGGTGTTGGGCTCTGGTGTGGAACCTGGGTGGATCACTCTTAAAGACGGTGCCTGTGAACAGACGGAGCTGCAGGGATGGAGAACAGCACGCACTGTTCACTTGGATTGAATTCAAGTGTAAAGGATGTCATGCTCTCTTCACATTAACTTGATCTAAGTACTCTAGTGATTTCCCCCAGTGATGATTGGACTGGAACATGCCTTCTTCAGGGTGACAGGGCTACAGAAGAGAGAAGAATCCAGAGAGCCATTGGAGGACATTGCCTTCTCACTTCCAAGCTGCTTGATCACCATCTTCCTGACAACATCAAACTAGCCCCAGGGGCCTCTGTGAACCCCCCTCCAGAGCACCCGTGATAGAAACTCGCTTCCGCTGCTCTCTAACCGTGGAGTGCATGGAGATCCCAACTGAATGTCACCCTCTGAAGTGGGCTCCCAATCTCTTAAATCTTTTGTATTTGCCCACAATATCTGAGTAGTGCTGAGCACGAAGCAGACACTCAGTAAATACTCGATTTACACACTCGTGTGGTCTTATGTGTGCTTCTGTGCTCGGGTTTCTGTGGCTTCAGTCTGCTTTTCACTTCCAGGGACAAAGTTGCCATCTGACTGTCCAGGACTCTTGACCTCCCATATGTCTTGGAATGTATCCCAATGCCTTCAGTTGCTTTATATTTCTTGTATAAATCAATTATAAAATCAGTCAAAAAAGAGTTGTGTTAGAGCGTCTACACCATCAGGTTAGGAACCAAACCTGGTAATGCTTTTATATATCTCAGAGCCCCCAGCCCAGTTCTGAGCACAGCATCCAATACAGACCTGAAAACTGATTTAAAATGGATTAAATAGGTGGAAATATCCAAACTCTACCCATCAATTCACTTTACGCAGTGCCCAGCATACTGTTAGAGTAACTTTGTCAAGTAAGGAGAACTAGCAGCTCCTGCTCAAAAGACCCGAATTTCCGGAGGGCTTTTAGGGAAGGGCTTTTAAAGGCAACATTGGGGTGAGGGTCGTAGGGGACCTGATCAGCTTGTGGACATTCTTCTGATTGATTGGTGGTGCGGTAATTGGGTGGTATATCTGGAGCCAGCATCATCAACCTTCTGGCTTTAACCAGTCTGGGGTCTACTTGTGGTCAGCATGCAGTTAAGTTCTTCCACCTGGTGGGGGTTTTAGTATCTGCAAAACAACTCAAGGATACGGCTCAGGATACTATCTGTAGCCCTTGAGGAGGAACTAAAGGTCCTTGACTTTGCTTTATGGCTAAACTATTACTGTCTTGATTGACTGTTTTTCTTTGTTCCTGCATTTTCTCATTTCTCTTATTAAATTTGCTCTTTGGAACTTGGGGAAGGCCTAGGGAGCTAAAGATTTTCTACAAACAAGAGGCAGGGGGAGGGGTCATGTTCCCGGGAAGGTCCCATAGAGTCCTGCTGAGCTTCATTTTTAGAAGATCAAATATGTAAAAATAAGAAGAAAGGAAAACACCTTTCAAGTGGGTGGGGGACCAGGAAGACCTAGTTTGGGCGTGAGAAATCTTTCTCGGGGGGCTTTAACAGTCTGTGGTGCAAATCTCTGGTGGATGGAATCAGAGCAGCACATTTCATTATATATTGAGATTTTCGTACCACGGTAAAAAAAAAAGAAAATAGAAGACTATTATCATAAGTCGATTCTGCTGAAAATAAAGGAATCATTATTTAAATGTCAAGAGACAAATAACCAAGAGGGATCATTCACAGTAGCTGGGGGGTGAGGGGTGAGTGGGATGAGGAAGGGTGTGAATGTCTCTTAAGGGAGATTGTTAACTTATATCTGGAAAATAGTAGCAGGGTTTCATTAGTGTCTTTTCACTGTAATAATGCCCTTCACATAACCTTTCTCTTTCCCTTCTTGACATTACAGACATGACAATGATGTACTCCAAAATGATGAAAACCTATGGGTTCAGTACCAGACCGTGAGGGTGGGCATTCCCAGGAAGCTTGAAAGCTAAGGCACCTTTTAGTAATAGCCATAAGAAGGTAAAATAGGACTTCTGTACCTTTGTGTCAAGATAGAAGACCGAAAGAGAAAGTTCAGTTATCAAACTAGCCAGAAGCCCCAGGGCCCCAAACTCAAGGATTTTAAACGATTACAGTAGCGCCCACCCTCCCCCATCCCCCATCTGCGGTTTCACTTTTGACGGTTTCAGTTACCTGCGGTCAACCACTATATGAAAATATTAAATGGAAAATTTCAGAAATAAAGAATTCATATGTTTTAAAGTGCGTGCCGTTCTCAGTAGCGTGATGAAATCTCGCGATTTCAGCTCTGCTCCCCCGGGATCTGAATCATCCCTTTGCCCAGCATGTCCCACCCGTTAGTCAATTAGTGGCTGCAGTTGTAAGATCTGCTGTCGCAGTGCCACAATGCTGTGTTCAAGTGACCCTGATTTTACTTAATCCTGGCTCCAAAGCGCCAGAGGAGTGATACTGGTGATTCGGAAATGCCAGAGATAAGACCTACAGTGCTTCCTTTAAGTAAAAAGGTGAAAGGTCTCAATAAGGAAAGAAAAAAAATCAGACGCTGAGGGGGCTGAAACCTACGGTAAGACCAAATCTTTCATCGGTGACATTGCGAAGAAAGAAAAAGAAATTCATACTAGTTTTGCTGTCACACCTCAAACTGCAAAAGTTATGGCCGCAGTGTGTAAGTGCTTACTTAAAATGGAAAAGGCATTCAATTTGTACAGTAAGATACTCTGACAGAGAGACCACATTCACATAACTTTTATTATAGTATTCTGTTATAGTTGTTCTATTTTATTATTAGTTATTGCTGTTAATCTCTTACTGTGCCTAATTTATAAATTAAACTTAATCATAGATATGTATGTATAGGAAAAACATAGTATGTATGGGGTTTGGTATTATCCTCAGTTTCAGACATCCACTGGGGGTCTTGGAATGTATCCCCTGAAGATAAGGGGGGAGTACTGTACAAAGCAACAATCTAATACAAGATCGTGGTTATACTTGAGTTGAAATTGAAAATAGTTAAGTGTAAGGAAAAAGGCATCAAGTTATACCTTAGCATCTTTAAAAATTGTGTCTGTGTGATACATAGTATATTATTGAATTATGTTATTTAACTTTAGTTTTATATTTGTGTACATAATGACATGAATTCATTTTTCTGATTTGGGTATCAAATGAGAATTGTATCATTTGGATTGAATTATGGACCGCCTAACAGTGCCCACTACATAATGAGGTCCCCTAGGGCAGTTTGGACTGACTGCACAGAAACATCTGGGAGCTTGTTAAAAATACAAATTCTTAGGCTGCACTCAGACCTGCTGTACCAGAATCTCTGGGGTAGTTCCTAAGGAACCTGTGTTTTAATAAACTCTCCATTTGATTCTCATACATGCTAAAGATTGAGAACATTGAAACATGAAGGCAAGTGTCACAATTTCCATACTTGCTAATAGCATATTTAATTATCATGATAGTGGTGATATTACGAAAAGAACAAATATCCAACAATTTTTCAATTCTGTTCAATCTTTACATATGGTACACACCCTCTCTATTTTGCAATCAATCAGAAGATGTGCTTCTGCTATAGGCTGGGAAGTATAATATTAAGAGCAGCATAAACAAAATTACTAATTTGACCTAAGTTTCAAGGAAATCTTTTGTTTCCTACCTTGTTCATTTCTAGATAATAGAACAAACAGCACACAAAGTACCATTAAGAAGAACTAGCTAAATTACAATGTCTGTGCTTTGCTGCATCCCTTAAAAAGAATGAAAATGTTGGCCAACGTTTACACTCATTCTCATCGGAACTTCTCATTTCTTCTTTATGGTTTGTCTTTTTCCCGAAGCGGTTCAATGGAAGATAGGAGTTGCTGAAATGTGGGCCGCTTTTCTGGAAGCTAAATAAAAGAAAAACCCAATGGTTTAGTTTATGAGGGCTATGATTAAAAATAAACTATGTAAAATATTTATACCTCAGTCCTAAAACTAGCAAATTTTACAATGTGGAAACACTATAGACGTTTCTTGTAAAGAGAAAACAATTAGAGCCCTAAGAATTGGGGAAGAAAAAGTATCTTTATTTGCATAAGATACGACTGCAGACCTTGGAAAACCAAGAGAATTAATGATAGAACCAACCCAAATAATAAAGGAATTCACCAGGAGAGCAGTATATAAAATTAACTTACAAAACCAATAGCCTTCCTATATGTGTACAATAACCAATTAGAAGATGTAATGATAGAGAAAACCCCATTTACAATAGCAACAACACCTCAATAAAATATGAACAAAAATGTACCCCCCGCAAATGAAAACTTTAAAACGCCGCTGAAAAATACAAACGTAGACTTGACCACATAGAAGAAAACATTGCTTGTCCTTGAATAGGACACACCAATACCATAAAGATGGTCAATTTCCTGAGTTAAAATACAAACCAAATACAGTCTCCTCCAAAATATGAAGAAGCTGGCTTCAAGCTGAACAAATTGATTATCTAGTTTGTGGATTTTTAAATATGTAAAATAGCTAAGAAAACTATAAAGAAAGATGAGCAATGAGGGGGTGCTAGCCTACCTAGTATTAAAACATGTTAAATACAGCAGAATCTAATACAACACTGTAAATCACTATACTCCAATAAAAATCCAAAAAATTAGACATTAAAAAAAGTGTTATAAAGTCTCTGTAATTAAAACAATACAGTGCTAACACATGAATAGAGACCAGAGAACAGAAGAGAAAGTCCCAAAATGAATCCAAATACCTATGCAAATTTACTATCCTGTTACTGGGTATTTTGACACCATTCGATAGAATGTTATTGCTGGGGATAACATAGTCTTTTAATAAATGGTGCCTCAACAACTGAGGAGTCATTTAGAAAACGAAATCTTTGGATCCATACTTTTTATTCCACATACCAAAACAAACAGACTAGATCAGACACTTAAATGTAAAAGAATGAAACCATGAAAGCACTAGAGGAAAATCTGAGTGAACGCCTTTGCAATCTGGGTGTGGCAAAGCCAATCTAACTATAACTCAGTTTCCAGAAGCAAAAGAAGCAAATAATGATGTAGTCAACTGTATTTTTTTAAAAGAAAGTTTTGCATGGCAAAGAACATCATAAATTAAATCAAAGATAAGTGACAAACTGGGAGAAAATAATTACAATTTATGTCAGAGGTACAGTATTAATCTCCTGAATTTCTAAAGGGATCTTTAAAATTGAGGTGGGAGGAACAAAAACCTTATAGAAAAAGGGAAAAGATATGACATATAATTCTCAGAAAGATATACAAATGCTCTTCAAAATATGCCTCACTCATAATGAAAGATGTACCTAGGAAAACTGCACTAAAATGCCATTTCTCGTCTATCAGATTGGCAGGAATTCAGAAGCTTAACAATGGTCTGTGTTGCTAGAGGGCCGATGCCTGTGGAGAGGAATTTGTATGCTCTTTTTTTTTTTTTGTAAGAAAGAAAGGGAAACAAAACCACACACCTATACATACATGTTCATTTTTGTACAAAGAAATACGGGAAAGCTAAACTGGAATCTAATGAAAATTGTGAATTTTCTCCCCAAAATTGTGAAATAAAATACCAAAAAGAAGGGAGACTAAACGACAAAACACTCACTATAAGCAGGACCTTCAGCTGGGGACTGCCCCCGTGCAACCCCCCCTCAATGGATTCTGCCCCAATTCTCACACTTTTACGGACCAACTGTAGGAAGAAGGCAGTTCCTTCCTGTTCAGGGCCCCCTGTCCATCTGACGGTGCAGGCACATTCCCAGGAGCTGGAGTGGGGAGGGCCAGGGAGGGTCCCAGCTTCAACACCCTTGTCTGCTCCTCTTCTCCATCGGCCAGGTGACAGCAGTGAGTCTGCCTGGTTGTGGGCAGTGCCAGGTCTCTAACCCTCCTCTGACCCAGTCTGACCCTCTAGTGCCGCCTAAGGCTCTCATCCCCTTTACATTTGGGGTAAAAAAGAGTGGGGGAGCCTTAGATAGTATTTCAAGTGACATTGGGTGGGAAGTCACCAAGTGCCCATGTTCCAAGAAGAATTTAAACTAAAAGATAAAACGTTACGTGATGCAGTCAGTAACTCTTCCAAAGTGGAATTCTAGGCTCCAACACAAGAGATGAGGAACTCTTTAAATCCTGTGCAGTCATTTATTCCTAGCACCCACATAGTGCCTGGCGCACAGCTGCTCTATTAATATGTAACAACAACGACAACCACTTAGAGCACTTACTGTATACCGGGCACTGTTCTAAGGACTTTATAATATTAACTCATTCAATCCACACAATAGTCCTATCAGTTAAGTACTATTTTATAGTGAAGCACAGAGATGTTAGGAGGCTTATGCAAGGTCCCACAGCTAGCATTCAACCCAGAGCTAGCATTCTGGCTCCAGAGTCCACATGCTTAACCACGACACTGATCTGCCTCTTTCGAGTGAATGAATGAATGCGTGAACGCATGACGGCAGCATTAGGCCCGTTTGTCAATGAGGCCACGCCGTATAATGACTATGGGCTGCGGGCTCTTAGATGAATGTTCTTAGAAGTCTCCTATTATCACATCACTCGCAAATGTCTTCAGGGGCTCCGTGTTGCCTATAGAAAGCCAAACTCACACTCCTCTCCTTGTCATTCAGCCTACAGAATCTGGACCAGACGTACTCTTCCAAACTCATTTCCAGCCCTTCCAACCACAGCTCCAGCCAAGCACGCAGTGCTCATTCCTGCCTCCCCACCTGTGCTTGTGCTGGTCGCTCTCACCTGGACACCCTTGAACTGTGTCTCCACCCACATAGTTGGGGAAGCTCTGTAGAGCTTTCCAGACCTGGCTCAGATAATGATGCGTTCTGGAAGCTGGGCTCCCTGTGTCCTCTGAGCTCTTCCTTCCTGTACTTACTTGTCTATGTTTCTAATTTGCACATATAATTATAAGCTATTTGCTGTTTTCAGTCCCACAAAAAAAGATACTCTTATTCTCTCCCTGCATGGAAGGCTTTTATTCAGCACTTGGGAGACAGGGGAAGGGAGAACAGACTGCTGTCCATTCTGTGCTCTCTACACGTGTTATTTGTTCTCTGTTACACGTTTTCTCCTTGAGGAGAGACCCTCTAGTGTTGTTGAGAACAGGGCCTCTGACACTAGCCAGCCTGCCTCTTACTAGCTGTGTGAGCTTGGGCGAGTCACTTAACCTCTCTGGGTCTCTGTTTCCACTTCTGTTCGTTTAGCCATGATAAGAGTACCTACTCAGTGTGTTTCCTGTTGAATAAATGAGTTAATATTCGTAAAGTCCTTAGAACACTGCTGATATAAGTTGTTTGTTAAGTTGTTGGCGCCTACAGTGCTGGTTTCAGATCACAAACACCTGAGGGAAGGGGCCCAGGGCCATTTCCACCTGCTCTGTAGCAGGTGCTCCCACCCCCACCCCGCCCCCGCCTCAAAAACGCTTCTTCCGGCGGTGACGCAGCCACCGGCCCGGATGCGCCCGGCGCCTGCCCGCTCCCGCCAGTGGATCACTCGCCTCGTGCCAGCAGCTGTGCATGACCTGGTAGACTGTGTCCCATGCCAGCTGGGGCCGGTAGAGCCGGTGGCCCTGGGAGACCTTCATGACCACCTGCGAGTTGTCGTACAAGTCATAGGGCTGCTTCCCCAGGCTGAACACTTCCCACATCAGGATCCCTGCACCATGGGGAGGGCGGCGGCGGACAGAGGAGAGAGAGCCAGCGTCAAGAGGTACAGTTTGTCGAACGAGCTTCACACGCTAAGTCAGGAAGGCTCTGGGTCAGAGCCGGGATCCCTGGGGGATGAGTCCAAGCATGGAGGACGGGGTAGGGAGGGCGGGCCTGGACCATAGCTTCCGGAGCCCAGGCTCTCTTCTCCCTGTTCCGAGACCCGGACGCCCGTTCTTGCCGGGAAACGGGGAACCGGCCAGGGCAGCTGCAGGGGGAGCTCCATGGGGTCAAGGCCCTTGGGCTGCTTCAGAGAGGCGGCTGAGGCCTGGCAACCCACAGTGACAACCCCCAGCTCCAGCTCTTAGGAGTAATGGATGGGAGTCTTCGCCCTTTCTCTCTGCCTTGGCAACAGTTTCACTGCACCATCAAATTACCTTTTGGTGGAAATTTAAGATAAAATCATGGACAACGCTCCTCCTTTTCTATTGCCACAGTGTTCTAGAATACTTTGTGGGTCAGGTGTCCTTTCAAAGATGTGATTAAAATCATTAGCTTTTCCTGGGGGAAGTGAATGCACAGCGTTTTCGGGCTCCTTGTCTGGAAGTTCACAGGGTATTTTCTGGAAGTATCCAGTGTATGGTGGACTCCAGGTTAAGAAACCGAGTTCTGGTCATGGTGGTCAAGAGGGTTGCATTTGGGGCCAGTCAGACGTGCCTTTCGAGGCCCAGGTTTGCCATTTACAGGCTGGGCGACTTTCTTAGTCCTTCTCAGCTCTGCTTGCCTTCTGTAATATGCGGATATCTGCACATCACAGAGTTGTCAAGAGGATTGAATAGGATAAAACACGCGGAGCATTTAGAAGGGCACTGGAGACATTTTAAATGCTCTCTAAATGGTGGCCATTGTGATGTACTGGCCAAGCCAGAGAATTCCAGCACTCAGCCAGCTTCAAAAGCTTGGAAAACTAGAAATATGTAAGAAGGGAGAAAATTGTTCTAGAATCATAACTGAAGTACTAACTTCAAAACTTCTTTGACTTTTAGGGCTACAGATTTTTTTGTAAAATATTTACAGTAAGGCAATGTTACAAGTTATGGTGGCTGTGGGTTTTTTTTAAACAAATATTCTAAAACAACCATCCAAAAACGTGTGGCCCCTTTCACAATTGTCTCTTTGGAAGGCTAACCACTTATCTCAAGAATAATATCATTGCTTAAAATATCTGTGGGACTCCTCTTTGAGAATTGCTTTCAGAGGTCCTGGTTTATTTTGAGTATCTTCACTGGGGACAGATTATTTAAGAATGAATTTAGTTCTTGGAAACAGCCAGGAAATATTTGGAGCCAAATTCTGGCACATAAGGTAAGCAGTCGACCTGAGTAATGCAATGTTTTGGTCAAAACCCAGCTGTGACTATGGAGTAAGGATACCGATTTTTAAAAATATCTCTCATAAGGCATATCATTTGACACAAAGAGATTGAAACTAATTCTGACAAGTTCATCAGCACAAAATGACATCAAGTATTCACCAAAATGCTCTCTGTGGTTTTTCCTTTTTCTGTATACATTGGATTATTATTTTTTTTTACAATGAACAGTACCAATTTTACAAAAGGAATAATTATTTTTAACAATTGTCACATAGAAAACTAAACAGCTAACTACATTTTCCTTTCTTTAGGCTGTCATGTAGAAAGTCAAATTGTGCTTATGGACTCAGACAGGCATGAAATAGTTCTCAGTTGTATTTAATAGATTCCATAGCCTTATGATAATTTGGAATATTTATCCTGGGCTCATCTGACAGTGATTTTAAACAAGCCTGACATTCCTCCCAATGTAGAAAAATACCAGAAAATATACAGAATCACAATTTAAGAATTGTCTCTGTTGTCTAATTACGTTTACTAAATTTCAATATAGATCTTTCAATAAAATAGGGGTCAGCATACTCTTTCTATAAAGGGCCACAAAGTAAGTTTTCTAGGCTTTGAGGGTCATGCAGCCTCTGTGACAGCTACTGTTGCAAGCACAAAAGCAACCACAGACAATACATAAACCATATGTACAAAGGACCTGGCTGTGCTCCGATCAAACTTTCCTTACAGAAACAGGCCACTGGAATTGGTCCTGCGCCATGGTCTGGTGACCCCTGACCTAAATGATGAATTTTAACAGGGACACTAGTTGAAGTTGGAATGGGCCAAAGGAAGTGCTGAGTCATGTTTGGTATTTACACCAGGCATGGCCCCCAAACTGGTCAATTCAGAAGGGAATGATTATCACCCCGCTTCCGTGCAGAAAGTCGATGACTTCATTTTAAGCCCTTCACCGTTTTGTACCTCATGCAAACTGGGTTTTAGTTTTCGGTGACTCCTTTTTGAAAACTGAAATCTTCAGTGGGAAAGCTTTTATCCCTTTTGATTTTATGAGAAGGTGCTAGCAGGATGCCAATTATACAATACGTGGCAGACATCCTAACACCAGCACAAGAAAGGGTCACCATCACCTTCTTCAGTCCCTTGCTTGTCTCTAGCCATACGTGTAATTTTGTAAGTGCCCAGAGCTTTTGCTGAAAATGGATGTTGCTGCTCTTGTGGTTTCCTGTTGTGGAAGCCAGCTTATGCAATGGGGGTGGGTCCCACGTGGCCACATTCTTACCGAACGCCCATACGTCTGACTTGCTGCTGTATTTGAAGTAGTGAAACACCTCTGGGGCTGACCACTTGACGGGAAACTTTGTTCCTACCGAACTGACATACTGGTCATCAAGAACATACCTGCAGAGGAAAACATCAACACAGCCCTTCAGCCAAGTATGCAGGACATACAGCCGTCCAGTCTCAGCGGAGGGCCTTGGTTTTCCAGACCTTTTGCTTCCTTTCAGTGTGTGAGCTTAGCTAGAGGCTGCTTATGACTTGTAAGCATTTAAAAAAATGATCTCTAACTTTGAAAATAGCAAAATCTGAATGCAAAATATTTGGTGAATAGAAAGATACACAAACAAGTAAAAGTAAAATCACTCCGAATCCCACCCCAAAGATAACCTGTCATGCTACCACTCAAGATACATTTTTGCTTGTACTTTCCAATCTTTTTTTCTATATATACTTTGAACAAAATTGGGTTTCTGTTGTATTGAGGTTTGCTTTTATTTTTCCTTTAAGGGCATATCAAGAACATTTTCCCCATGGTTACATTCTCCTACAGCATCATGTTTAAAGGCTGACTAGCCTTCCTTCTTACGGATTAACGTAATTTGTTTAACCGTGTAACTTACTTCTAATCTTTTGCTATTGTAAACAATGATGGACAGCAATAATATCCTATGAAGTTATCAAGACCATAAAAATATATGCTCAAGATATGCAGTACACTTTTGTTTATAATAATGATAAAAATGCAATCAACCTCAATGTCCCCAGGCTGAGGAGTGATTAAATATAATATGGCACATTAATAGAATAGTATGCAGCCATGAAAAAAGAGATCACTCTACACTGACCAAAATAAAAAGATGCCTATGGTTTATGGTTAGTGCAAAAGCATGTATAGGTAATGTGATTCCGTTTTTGTGGGGACAAACAGTAAATGTCCATATTTGTGTATATGATTGGGTACACTTAGGAATCAGGTTTGAAAGGACATCCACTGAATGTGTCAGCCATAGTTACTCCTAGTGCTGAAAATAAGGGGAATGGGTGGTGGGGGGGTAGATTCTACTTTTTGCTTTATACACTATTGCTGTATTTCTTACAATAAGCATATATTATTTGTACAATTAATCAAGGAGAAGCCCACAAAAACCATAAATAATGACTACTAACTCAAGAAAATAGAAAAATGAAAATGGAGACTGAAACTTTGTATATAATTTATAGGAAAACTTCACACACAAAAATGTGTTAGAGATGTTTATTGTACTTTAAAATAGCTGAAAAAGCTGGTGTGGCAAATCATTCTGGGAAATATTAATAATAGTAATAATAAATAATGCTTCCATGAGATTACATATAGCACCTCCCATACTTCCCTCCCAAGCCGCCTCAGCTCCTCAGATACCACCAGACACTCAGAAACAACCCTGACACCCCTGACTGGGCTCTGCTCACGACCTAAACCTTCCTTCAAATCATCAGGACCAAGTTCAATCACAGGCATCTGACTAATGTGACCCCAGAGCTTCATGACCAACAGGGCCTGGTGCATGGCCTCCAGGATCCCTTATTTAGAGCAAGACGCGCAGCCCCCTTTTCCTAAGTTACAAAGAACTTGACAGTATATTCCCTGGACGCTGGCGTAACAGCCCATATTTCTGCTTTGAGAACAAAGTGGGATCAGCTCCCTCGGCCTGGGAGCCTCTCCCTGTCCTGAGCAGCTGTGAGCAGCTTTTTCTCTTGCGCTCAGGCGAGCTACACATTCGGAGTGTGGGCGTCGGAGAGGAAGTGCATGGTCAGAGGAGGGTGGCAGGGAGCACGCAGCTAAAGGGACACCCTGGCAACACTGAGGGGTCCCAGAAGAGGAGCAGCTTCTCTAATGAAATTTGGAGAAGACTTAAAAAAAAATAGATCTTCCTTAGGGCCATGCTGGCAAAACATAGAGCTGGCTTTCGTCACCTCTTCAGATCGCTTTGAAACTGCGTTATCTCTCCTCAGAATGACATGAGTTTATGTTGAGTGGGCACAACTTTATAGCTGTATTTTGTCTCAATGGCAGGGACATCTACTTGCCCTGTAGACTAAACCATGGGCAGTTTGAGGGCAGGGAGTATCCCATACATTTCAGTATCTCTCATAAGGCCCAGGCATTGCGTAGGCACTCAATAAATGTTTGTTGAATGGAAAGGCTACCATGTATGTCTTCATTTCCTATGTAAAACCATGAAAATTGACTCTGAGGCTTACATAGTAGAAGGATTCAGAATTCAGGAAATGGAAGACTCTTGTTAAACTGCTATCATACTCAAACTAACTTCTCAAATCCTGAAGTGTTGCTAGAGTGCTCACCAAGGGATTCTGAGTCTACTGCCTTACCTGATACAGGAAATTTAATAAAATGGCAAGGAAAATTGTCCTAATGTTAATGCCCTGTCCATTTGAACATATAGTGTTAAGAGGAAACAACCAGAAGGGGTAAAGGAGCCACAATACACACACACACTCACTCAATCAAGGCTTTTAAAACTTTTCTGGGTTGTATTTCTGGCTGTAACATGTTATATTTGAATATTTAAGATTTTCATGGAATTTATTCTTAAGTTTAGGAAATATTTATCAAGGTGTTGAAAGAACTAAAAAGGACTTGGGGCAATTTCTGAAGAACAATCCCATCTTATGGGTGGAGAAATGAGGTGGGCAGAGGTAGAATGGGGGAGGGGATCCCGGTTTCTAAGCCCCTGATTGAGAGCAGGTTCTATATCCGCATTTTGATGTGAATGGAAACCCCTGTTGCATTGGCTGCCCTGTGGGAATTGGCTTACCGCGTCATCCCAAAGTCAGAAACCTTCACAGAGAGGTCACTGTCCACCAAGCAGTTCCGAGCAGCCTTTAGAGGGAAAGCAAAATTACCAAGTAGTAAAGATGACCAAGAATCCCCTGGCATCAAAATCAGACATTTTCCTTTTCTTTGGCAGAATTCTCAGCAAAATCGAAGATTGCCTATCACAACCCCAAATGCTCTATTTCAAAGGAACTATCTAGAGTATAGGAGTTGTCTTTTTTCCTTCGCAATTTTCCATTTTTCAGAATGAAAATGTGCTCCCATAAGTATTTTGCCTCAAGCATCCATCCTTGTCAAACAGCACGAAAGGTATTAGACATTAAACACAGAGCATGAGCTCATCAATGAGAAGGCAAAAATCATGTCTAGGGGTTCCCTCTCCACACTGCTAGGGCACCGTGCATTAACAGGCGCTTTGAAGGCATAACTGCTGCGCTGGGAACCCCACATACACTGGCCTAGTGTGCATGGCAGGTTTGCTGTTCAGCACAAGAAAATTTTAAAGATCAATCGATACCACTGCAAACCAAGCAGAACACTCTCCATGCCCACCCTGACCCAAAGACACACACAAATTTCATTTCTTGTATTTTTGGTTACGGTACTGAACAACTCCTTTAGCACTAAACCCTTCCTGGAGTAAAGGTAACCTTGGGTTAAATGGTTCTGGGAAACAGTAAAGTGACCAAAGTCTTTCCTTTCCATCTGTTTTCCTTTATACCGCAACCTAACTACATAGATCTTGATGGCTACTTCTACTCTTTCTATACTTCAAGTATTTTATTGTGAAATTGTGATTTTGATTACAAAAATGTCATGCGCTTAAGCATGTCACAAGTGAGCAAAGTATAAGTGAAGATGCCCTCCTTGCCGTCCCTCCCAGTGGCCCCATCGCTGGAGGAGGGAGCTGGGGATAGCTTTCTTTCCTTACCAAGTCCCGGTGTATGAACTGGTGGCTCTCCAAGAAGGCCATGCCTTCACAAACATCATAGCACATTTCTAAGAGCTGGGAGGGCTCAAGTCTTTTTCCATGACTCTTCAGGTAACTCAGCAAGCAGCCATTGGTTATATATTCAGTCACTATGTATATAGGGTATCTCTTTGAACACACTCCATAGAATTTCACCAGCTTGGGATGGTTGAGTTTCCTGGAAACAACAGATGTTCAAAGTTCAATACTCAATTTCCATACTGCATTTTCCAGATGTCCTGAAAAAGAATCACTGTCAGATTTTTGTGTGTTTTAATTTCCCCCCTTCTAGTAGAATGGAGGAAGGGTCTGATTCTGGGAGCATTAGCCTTTGGAAGCAGAAAAATGCTGCCTCCCCTTGGATATTGACAACCGCAGCAGCCGTTAAGCTGTTCTGGGTGCTTGTTCAACTTTGCTACAGAGAATCAGGGTAGCAGTGGTCTGTTGCCTCAGAAATCCTGCTTAGTCTCGTGGCATCTTGAGAACTCCATGGCTGATTTGGAGGAAGCTATACCCTAGGAGAAGTCACTTCCATTTTAAAGCATCCAACTTTTATGTCTAAACATTTCATTTAAAAAAATAGAATATGAAGGGTGTAGGTAAATGAAAATAGTTTCCATGTTAGAGAAGTGAGATTAGTTCTGATTTTCCTTTCTTTTTAAAAAAATTTCATTTTGCATTATTGTGACGTTATTTTTTTGATGATAAACTTAGAAAAGAATAACCACGTGACATAGCACTTCTAGTAGGTCATGACAGCTATTATGATGTTCATCAACTAGTCCTTATGTAATTGATCTATTATCAATTTACAGGATGCTTCTTTTTTTTCTTTTCCATTATGGTTTATTACAGGATATTGAATATAGTTTCCTGTGCTATACAATAGGACCTTGTTGTTTATCCATTCTCTATATAATAATTTGCATCTGCTAACGCCAAACTCCCACTCCATCCCTCTCCCACCCCGCTTCCCCTTGGCAACCACAAGTCTGTTCTCTATGTCTGTGAGTCTGTTTCTGTTTTGTAGATAAGTTCATTTGTGTCATATTTTAGATTCCACGTCTAAGTGATATCATATGGTATTTGTCTTTCTCTGTCTGACTTACTTCACTTAGTATGATAATCTCTCGGGCCATCCATGTTGCTGCAAATGGCGTTATTTCGTTCTTTTTTATGGCTGAGTAATAGTCCATTGTATATATGTTCCACATCTTCTTTATCCATTCTGCTGTCGATGGACACTTCGGTTGCTTCCATGTCTTGGCTATTGTAAACAGTGCTGCTATAGATGAACTTATTTGCAAAGCAGAAAGAGAGTCGCAGATGTAGAAAACAAACTTGTGGTTTCCAGGGGGGAAGGGGGGGTGGGATGAATTGGGAGATTGGGACTGACATATATACACTACTGTATATAAAATAGGTAACTAATGAGAACCTACTGTATAGCACAGGGAACTCTACTCAGTGCTCTGTGGTGACCTAAATTGGAAGGCAATCTAAAAAGGAGGGAATATATGTATATGTATAACTGATTGACTTTGCTGTACAGCAGAAACTAAGAGAACATTGTAAAGCAACTGTACCCCAATAAAAAAATAGTCCTGCTATGAACATAGAGGTGCAGGTATCTTTTCCAATTATGGTTTTCTCAGGGTAGATGCCCAGGAGTGGGATTGCTGGGTCATATGGTAGCTCTATTTTTAGTTTTTTGAGGAACCTGCGTACTGTTTTCCATAGTGGCTGCACCAACTTACATTCCCACCAACAGTGTAGGAGGGTTCCCTTTTCTCCACACCCTCTCCAGCATTTGTTATTTGTAGATTTTTTTGGTAATGGCCATTCTGACTCGTGTGGGGTGGTACCTCATAGTTTTGATTTGCATTTCTCTAAAAATTAATGATGGTGAGCATTACAGGATGATTCTTTAATGTTCAGATGTGTAAAGTAAATTAAATTTAACATGTCAACTTGACAATTTTTTTAACAGATGAGGATTCATTAAATATTCAGTTATTTTTTTCCTCCTTAGTTTAACTATAGGGACATGTGTTATCATGTTACTCAAGGCTGGGTTATGCATATTTGAGCAGTGTTAGGGACCTGCATTGCTCCCTTCAAAGGGAAGGCTTGTGGTGGGACCAAGGTCTATCACCCAATAAAAGGTGTTCCTTGAGCAAATTCAGTCACTGCCCAGGGGGCACATGGTAGGAATACCATGTCAACTGACACCTCCCACATTTCAGGCCTCCGTTTGACCGTTACATTTGAGATTTAACAGTTTCCCCTGATGATACAGTTTGGACTCGTTCTCTATGACTAGGTGATTTGTTGATGACTTTTTAGGATTCTGTAGGATTACCAGCTCTCTAATAGCAAAAAAATATCTTTTAAAGTTACACCATGACACAGGGGTTACACCATGACCCTAAGGGAGTTTCTGTCGGATTTTTCTGTTCTGACATCAAGGACCCCTTTCCCCGTTTTATGACAGTACAATTGCCAGAGATAGGATGAACTACATAATTTGCAGGGATCAGTGCAAAGTGAAAATGCAGGGATCCTTGTGTAAGAATTATTAAGAATTTCAATGGTGACAGCACAGCATTAAACCAAGCGCGGAGCCCTTCTAAGTGCAGGAGCCCTCGACACTGTGCAGGTTGTGTGCCCATGAAGCCAGCTCCAGCCAAAGGCTTCTGTTTGCATAGTACCTCTGCTTCCAAACAATTCGGCAATTGCAGTAGAAGTGGTTATTCTGACTCTCCGGGTACTTTTGGTCTTCATAAAAGAATGACTAAGGAAATGGACACTGGAAGGTCTGCTGGGTTTGCATCTCTGCTCTGCCACTTTTACTAGCTTGGTGACCTTGGGCTAGTTATTTAACATTTCTGTGCTTTAGTTTCCTACCAAACACAACAATGTTTTCCTAGCAAAGACAACAATGGTACATCCCTCATAGCCTTCTTATGAGGATTGAATGCATTAACGTTTATAAAGCACTCAGATGCCTGTAAACACTGTATATAAGTGTTTAAGTAAATTTTTTAAAAATGTTATTCCTCTGTAGCAGGCTAGGCTTTATGGTTTCAAGTGTCTTTGACCAAAGGCCTGCTATAGCATTGTTTCTCATACCATGCTGATTCGTTCCTTAGAGTAGGATGGCCAGCTCACTGTCCCAGTTTGCCTGGGACTGAGGGGTTTCCCAGGATGTGGGACTTTCAGTGCTGAAACCAGGAAAGTCCCAGGCAAAAATGGATGGTTGGTCACCCTTCAAAGTCTGATTCACCGTGTTGACAAGAGGTATAATCATTAAAAGAGTTCTTTGTACTTACATGAGAGAGGGAGAGGGGGAGAGGGGGAGAGAGGGAGAGAGAACACATATGAATTGCCAAGGGTTGAGAGCTGCGCTTGGAGCTGAGGTCCATTAGCAAGGGTATCTTCATTTATCAGATGAGGAAAGAAGTAGGGTGAGAACAGGACTTGTACCACACTGTGTTGGGATATTGTTGTAGGGCGTTAGTTTTCAGTAGTGCCTTAGTCCTGGCCACTAGAAGCTCATGCCCTTGGGCATGTGCTTTACAGGGCCCCACTCTGTTCCTCATTCCACCGCATCCCTCCCCACAGGACAAAGAGGCCAGAGGGCTAAGGAGACATGTCCACTCAGAACCAGTGTATCTCTTTATCACTCTTGGGGTACCAGGACTCTGGAATCCCCTGCCCACAAAGTACTGAGGCCTCTTCCAGGACCTTTGCAGACTCTTCCTGGTCTATCTCCCCAAGAGTGAACCATGCTATTGGTGTGCCTACGCCTAGCCGAGATAGTTGCTCGTGGGAGACACAGAGGGAGCTCGGATGTACTGAATGCTATGTCTGCATATAGGCACTGAGTACAGGATGGGGCTGGGGGTGGGAAGAGAAAGGGGAGAGGTGGAGTTTTGCGGTGGGTGGGGAGCATGGTCCAGAGGCTGACTTCTCTAAAGAGCCTTGAGAATTCTAAATTTGAATACGACCTTTCAGGTTGTTGTGAAGGTATACTTGTCAGAGGAGACGCATAGAACCAATTTTGTGTAATGGTGTGTTCAATTGACTTATAACTTCTAAATATTTGTATCTGTGATCTGTGGATTCTTTTTTTCCTGTTGAAAAATGGTGCATTTTTAAATTAAAGTATAGTTGATTTACGATGTTGTGTTAGTTTCAGGTGCACAGCAAAGTGATTCAGATGCACACACACAGACACACACACACTCTTTTTCACAGTCTTTTCCTTACAGGCTATTACAAGATACTGAATACAGTTCCCTGTGCTGTACAGTAGGTCCTCGTTGCGTATCTACTTATATACAGTGGTGTGTAGATGTTAATCCCAAACTCCTAATCTATCCCTCCCCTGACCTCTCCCCTTCGGTAACCATAAGTTGGTTTTCTACGTCTGAGTCTATTTCTGTTTTGTAAATAAGTTCATTTGCGTCATATTTTAGATTCCACATAAAAGGGATATCATATGATATTTGTCTTTGTCTGTGTTCACTTAGTATGATCATCTCTAGGTCCATCCATGTTGCTGCAAATCGTATTATTCCATTCTTTTTTATGACTGAGTAATATTCCGTTATATGTTCTATGCTATGTGGACTCTTGATTCAGGCCTTGCAAATGTTAGGGACAGATCCGTTAGCATGAATGTCCCCTCATGGTGAGGGTAAACCACCATTCCTCAGGAGAAACTTACATCATGGTCTGGGCCTCCTGGAAGAATTCATCTTCTGACATGGAGCCCTCCTTGATCATCTTAACAGCAACATCATACTGCCCCTTCCACTTGCCCAGGTGGACCACTCCAAACTGGCCACTTCCCAGCTCCTCCAACAGGGTAATCTCTTCTCTTTTCAGTTCCCAGATTCCTAATAAGGTAAGACAGACCCTCTTTAGGATGAGAATAGAAGGCTTTGGGGCTAACAGCTTCCCAAGTGGTTCCCTCTCCAATGAGAGTTTAACACTGACAATATGAAGAACAGCAAGACCTTTTAATTTTAAGTTGATCACTTAAAAAGAAAATCCTTAGTGATATGGTCTTATGATCTATTAGACCACATGATAATGTCACCAGAACAGTATTGTTCCTGAAGCACCTACAATTATTGACAAGAAAAGTTAGAGTGAAAAAACCTTTGCCAACCAGAGGCGTCTTGGAAAGACTTGGTGTCAAAATGTGCTCAGTGCCCTTAGCTTAGTAAAATATCATTACATTTTCTTATAAAATAAATTAAGCTGTGATCCAGGTTGCAAACTGGCTCCCCTGAGCAGGCAGAGAATCCCAGAAGAAGAAAGGACAGGCAGTGGGGTTCTAGAGGCTGATGACTGGGTCAGTCTTTTTGGTAATGCTGGGGAGATTACAGAGTTAGGTTGGGAGGACAGAAAAGGTTTCAGTTTGTATAAGAAAATGAATGAATATATTAGAGCTGAAGCCCTCCCTGACACAAGCTGAATAGGGATCTCCTCCCTGTCTTCCATCTTTTTTTTTCCAGTAAATTAACCACATATATATATATATATATATATATATATATATATATTTAAAATGAAAAATGGTAGGAAATGGAGTATAAGAACCCAAGGGCATGTCCATACCACTTCCCAAGGACACGGAGATGGGAACCTTGTTGGCCTTCGTTGACACAGGGTGGCGGAGTCGTGTGATCATGCCTGCAATGGAATCAGCTTCACATCATCACATGATGACATTATATCACATCACACTACCTTACATTGGTTCGCACCTCTGCTTATGCTCTCTCTAGAGCAGCTGAAAAAGCACAGAGTTCATGATGTTGTCATGCAGAGAGAGACTCCATTCTAACCATATTCATCCTGTAGTTACATTAATTTGCTTGACTTGACTAACTAGTTCTATGTAAAGCAAAAATTCAAAGAGTAAAAGCTATCAATACTTCATGTGATTTTTTAAAAATCTCATCAAAGTTAGTTGCTTGATGGAATCTTTTATTTTAAAAAGTGTCTCATTTTTATTTTGCTAGCTTTTCTTGTTTTAATTATTGCATTTGTAGCTAGCCATCAACTATTTTTTTAAATTGAAGTATAGTTGATTTACAGTATTTTATTAGTTTCAGGTGTACAGCACAGTGATTCAATATTTTTATAGATTATACTCCACTTAAAATTATCACAAAATAATGGCTCTTTTCCCCTGTGCTGTACAATATATACTTGTTGCTTATTTATTTTAGACATAGTAGTTTGTATCTCTTAATCCCCTGTCTCTATCTTGTCCCTCCCCCCTTCCCTCTCCCCACTGGTAGCCACTAATTTGTTCTCTTTATCTGCGAGTATGTTTCTGTTTAGTTGTATTCATTCGTTTTATTTTTTAGATTCCACATATAAGTCTTATTTCACTGACTTATTTCACTAAGCATAAACCCTCTAGGTCTACCCAGTTGTTACAAATGGCAGAATTTCATTATTTTTTATTGCTGAGTAATATGCCATTGTATATACATATACCACATCTTCTTTATCCATTCATCTGTTGATGGACACTTAGGTTGTTTCCATATCTTGGCTATTGTAGATAATGCTGCTGTGAACATGGGGTGCATATATCTTTTCAAATTAGTGTTTTCATTTTCTTCAGATATATACCCAGGAGTGGGATTGCTGGGTCATACGGCAGTGCTATGTTGAGTTTTTTGAGGAACCTCCATGCTGTTTTCCATAGTGGCTGCACCAATTTACATTCCCACCAATAGCGTACTAGGGTTCCCTTTTTTGCACATCCTTATTAACGTTTGTTATTTGTGGACTTTTTGATGGTAGCTATTCTGACAGGTGTGAGGTGATAGCTCACTGTGGTTTGGATTTGCATTTCTCTGATGAGTACTGATCTTGAGCATCTTTTCATATGTCTTTTGGCCATCTGTATATCCTCTTTGGAAAAATGGCTATTCAGGTATTTTGCTATCTTTTTATAGTCCCGTATTTAAGTATTATACACACAGCACATACATTTGGTTAAAAAAAACAAATCCAAACAGTACACAAGGGTACAAGATAAGTAAACCACTTGAATTTTTTTTTTTTTTTTTTAATGAGCTTGGGCTTCCCTGGTGGCGCAGTGGTTGAGAGTCCACCTGCCGATGCAGGGGACACGGGTTCGTGCCCCGGTCCGGGAGGATCCCACATGCCACGGAGCGGCTGGGCGTGTGAGCCATGGCCGCTGGGGCTGCGCGTCCGGAGCCTGTGCTCCGCAGCGGGAGAGGCCCCAACAGTGAGAGGCCCACATACCGCAAAAATAAAAATAAAAAAAATTAAAAATGAGCTTATTCCTAAATTGCATTTAACGGTCAAGTCATTTTAATTGTTTACATGGAGTTATGGTAAAGCTGGGTTAAAATAAAGTATTTATAGTGGTTCAAAATAACTCATTTAAAAAAATGTATGTTTCTTGCTTTAGATGTGTGATGTTTTCCAAGTCCTGGGAGCTCTCACACATGTTCCGTTTCTCTCCTTCCTTTTTTCTCTATTACTTATCTAGTTTTTACATGAGTGGTCTCTTGTAAATCCTGCACCTTTAATTAGCAAAAAAAAAAAAAATTAACATACTCCTCCAAAATATGTGTATATATAATTGCTGCTGTGTTGATACAATATATGAATCATAAAATATACTCACAAATAGAAAACTTAAGAGAATTAGATTTTAGAAACAAATCAAATAAACATTTTAGTAGTTTCTTCCAATCCCCTGGGGAATTTCTTGTGTATCCTCTGGAGTGGAATCATTCCACTTGGAGACATCTATTTATACAACACCTTTTCCAAAGTGTATTTTTCAGGTGCTACATGTTAAAATACACAATTGAAGAAATTGGGACCATGGAAAAACACAAATAAAAACCAAAATCAACACCAGGAGTAAGAGCAATTCACCCACGTGCCTGTGATCAGGTCAGGTAGAGTTGCACAAGTTTGATGCTGATCCCACAGCTTACTTTTACTAACTGTTGGAAATTCATCCAGTCACTGCCTGTAAGTGGAACTAGTCTAGATAAGACATTTAGAGTGGATTCTTAAATTTCATTTTTTTTAGGTTTATTGAGATTTTATTGACATATAACATAGGTAACTCTTAAGGTGTACAACTGTGATGATTTGATACATGTGTACAGTGCAAAATGATTGCCACAATAAGGTTAGTTAATACTTCCATTACAAGGGATTTCTATATATTTTTATATTATTTTATACTATTTGTATCAGTCAATTAGGCAAAATTTAAAAAGAGTGATAGCACCCAGGGTCAGTGAGGATGAAGTGTTGCTGTTAGTGGGAGCGTACATTTCTGAATAGCATTTGACAGTGTCTGAATTTTAAACATTCTTAACCATTATCTCAAATTCCACTTTTAGGGAATTTGGCTACAGAGACACTCATACAGGTACACAGAGCTATGTTTGCATTAAACAGCCATTGTTATGTGAAAATATTGTACATGATCCAACTGCTAATCAGTATACGGTTCGGTGAATGAATTACGGAGTAATTCTACAATAGATTTCCATTAAACAGATCAGAGTGAGCTATACACATGTGCATGGAAAGACTTCTAAGACATGCAGAGTAAAGAAAGCAGGCTGAAAAGTAGTATGTATAGAATGATCTCATATCTGTAAACATATAATGTGTGTACATACATATATATTATATATATGCATATATATAATGAATAATAGATGTTAGTGTCAGCATAGAAAAAAATTCTGTCAAAATAGACACCAGCTTGTCCATGAAGGTTATCTCTCCGATGATGCACATTTCTATATTGCTTGAATTTTGCAGTCATCTTACTTCTGTAGGCAGAAAAAGAACTGCAAATATTTTTATAAAGAGAATCTCTACTTCTAAGTCACTGAACTCACTGAACTTCATTTTTCCTGGCGTTATAGAGTGTATAATGTTATATTCCAGGAGATGTAGGTTAAAAATCACAACAGCCATAGGGCTTGAGAGCATTTCCCCTACTTTCATGATTCCTTATATAATTAAGAGTATTAGGAGTGGGGGGAGGGATAAATCAGGAGTTTGGGATGAACAGATACACACACTACTGTATATAAAATGATAAACAACAAGGACCTACTGTACAGCACAGGGAACTACACTCATATCTTGTAATAACCTATAATGGAAAAGAATCTGAAAAAGGATGTATATATATTATATATATCTGAATCACTTTGCTGTACACCTAAAACATTGTAAATCAACTATACTTCAATTAAAAAAAAAAGAGTATTAGGAGGGTCAGCGATATCCAAGAAAATTTATATTTATCAGCAAGGACCCGTGAAAGAAAAACTGAACCAAGTTACCTGCTGAATTGTGTTGATGATAGTGAATAAGCTTTGGAATGGAATCAAAACAGTAGTTTTCTGCCAGGTACAATTTGTTCTCGGCATCTGTATGCACATGGTAATGTTTGACGGTTCCTTTTTTATCACTAGTAAGGAAGAAAGAATGTTAGAATGTTTTTAATAAACAAGTGAAGCTCGATTACATAATGGTTAAATCATTTTATGTGCATTTGCAAAGTTTAGAAAGGGAAGTCAGAGGTGGCTTCTGAGTCTTGACATCTAGTGTTTTTCTGGAGGTGTCCACGATAATCCATAAGTATGGAAGAGGGCTCCTCTCTGAACTCAGTGGATCCTTTGTGCTCATACAGAATTCATCTATAATAAAACTCCCCCTTTCTGTACCGTTCTTCCTTTAGTAAGTATAAAGCCGGCATCTTCCTTTGGTGATTGAGAGCCCTGCAGTTTTCAGGATCATTATTCTGAACATTAATTCTCTTTTAGGATAGTAATGGAGATTAAAAGGTGGGAGGCAAAGGTCATTAGGCTGTGGATGGGAAGCTCTTTTGGGAGTGGAGTGTACAGGTTGGAGTTGGTGGGAATAGCCTGAAATTCCTCATGCGAACTTGTGCCTTTTTCCCATAAAACTTTTTTTTTTTTTCTGTTGCTCTACTTGTAGAAAATAGTGGTGAATTGATGCACGTTGATTTAGGCTAACCAGGAATGATATGCCTGTCTTAGATGTTAGAGTCTAGCGTAGCGGTCAAGAACTGGGCTTTGAGTACATTTCTATTGCTGGCTAGCTACCTCATCCAGTTGTTGTAAAGCTCAGATGAGAGTATGTATATATCAGTTGCACTATGCTTGGCACATAAGAAACTGTTAATATATTCTTGTTGCTGTAATGTCAGCCTCGTTAGAATTACAGTTATAAAAAGGAGAAAGGATGCTTTCTTGTTGCATATGGCTCATTGGCTCTTGGTCTGAGCATCACATTCACTCCAGCCGAATGATGGTGTTTCATTAAAGAAGGCTTCTGTAGTCTTTCATTGGGATTCTTTTCATTTGATTCCTCATCTATTTGCTGATTTTTTTTTTCTATGTAGCCACCTTCAAAAATGAATCTGGTGTCAAGAAGCTTAACTAAGAGGACTTCTGACATCAGGTTTGGCTGAAACTGGAGGCCCTGAGGGCCATAGAGCTTTTGATATTCAGTGAACCAAGCCTTCTCCCCCTTCTTACTGGGTTGGCTTTAGTCAGCATCCAAGTTTGCAAGCTAGTACACGAGGTGCACCGGGGATGTGGCTTCTGGCACTGGAAAATGCCATGTGAATGCTTATGGTACATGCTGTTATCTCAAATTGGAGGTAGGTACTCTGTAAAAAAAATTCCCGAAATAAAATAACTTTTTCATCACTTAATTATTTAAAAAATACATATATGCACCACAAGGCAGGGCACATGGAGAAACCACCAAGGCCCTTCAGTCATTCAAGGTCGTTCAATCCAAGCATTAAAAAAGGGGTCGCACACGTAGACTTTTTTTTTCAAATGGCCCTAATCGAGATTTGACCAGATTCTCATTCCAAAACATTGGGTGGTTTCAGCACAGACACAGGGATATGATTGAGGGAACATGAACTTGGCTGTTGAAGGCCTGGCTTCAAGTCTGTCATTTATTAGTTTTGAGGGTGGTCTTTATAAGCTCTCTTTGAGAGCGGCATGGACATATATACTCTACCAAATGTAAAATAGCTAGTGGGAAGCAGCCGCATAGCACAGGGAGATCAGCTCGGTGCTTTGTGACCACCTGGAGGGGTGGGATAGGGAGGGTGGGAGGGAGGGAGACGCAAGAGGGAAGAGATATGGGAACATACGTATATGTATAACTGATTCACTTTGTTATAAAGCAGAAACTAACACACCATTGTAAAGCAATTCTACTCCAATAGAGATGTTAAAAAAAGAAAAAAGAAAAGCTCTCTTTGAACCTCAGTCCTCTCATATGTAAAATGGTGTAAATAAAAACAGCTTTCCTGTTTGCTCCACAGGATGTTTAGAAGGAACAAAAAGGCTAACAACCAATGGGAAAGTGGCTTGTAAGACTCTGGAGGGGGACCCTAATGTTGGTGAGGGTGACTTGCCTGAGGTAACCGTGGGGCCTTATATACCTAAGCATGCGGGGGAGGGGGGCAGGTAGAATTACTGTTTCCCAGCAACAACAATGCTAGTGATTACTATTACTTTATTAAGTGTGTGCTATGTGTCAGGCACTGTTCTGATCCGATTTGTGAATTAACCCACTTCATCCATAGAACATAATGATGGTTATTATGTCCACTTTTCAGATGAGGAAGTTGAGGCACAGAAGTTAAACTTGCCTAGTGTCATAAGGTTTTGAAATGGCAGAGTCAGGATTTGGACTCAGAGGTACAGCTTAACACCAGAACTCTTAACCACACCAACAGGACAGCACCCCAGAAAGAAGCCATCCAGGGAACACAGCTACACTGATTCAACCTCCTGCTCCCACTGGAAAGACTTACTAAAAACCAGACACTGGGCTAGGTTTCTCAGCTCAGCAGGTGGCTAGGGCCAAGAGTGTATAGGAACCATTGCTATTATTTTTCTCTTTCTAGGCTTAGGATGAATCAAGGGGGAATAACGCAGGATGCCTTTAACAAATGTTAAAGGCTCGCCATGCACTGGGCGCTCTGCTGCGGTCTGGGATAGGCAGGAGAGAATCGCCCAGAAAACAGCCTCTTGATAGTACGGGGTGGGGCGGGGGAAGGCAACTACGAATGGTCACTTTCCACAGAAATACTTTGATCCCAAATTCCAGAGCTTAAAGATGGGATCTTATCCCCAAATGTGACTGAATGACCAGCATATTCAAAGAACATACACAAGAAGGTGAAAGAAGTCCGCATCATACTTACTTCATAGCCTTACTAAACAAGGACACTGTGTACATTCCCGCCTGGCTGGAATTTCTAACCATAAATGCTCCTTCTTTTCCCTAAATAGGAAGGAGAGTGTGGAAGGGACAGAAAACATTTTCATTATTCTTGAAAACGATTTGCCCTGGTAGGTGGTCGGAAAGTAGATCTTTTAGATCCACTTTAGACATTGATGGCACAGATTACTCACCAGTTGGCACAGAAGGGACCCCTGGTTTAGCTTTCCTCCTTCTCTCACTCAGTGTCTTTATAGATCTACCCTGTGTGCTTCAACTCTTCCTCTCCAGTTAATTTTTAACCTTCTCTGATAATTTTCCCCGTTTTGTGTTTGTGCAAGCCTAACGTTTTCATCTTTCAGAAATAAAATTTAAAACCACATATCACCATATCATGCCCTTGGAAGGTTTTAGAAAACCAAAGATGCAGAACAAATCATTTATTAAATTTATGCTCAACTTGTCTTTTGTAATGTGCTGGTTCTAAGCAGATTTAGATTTAGACAAAGTGGATATTCAACTGCGCATGTGACGAAATAGCGAGTTAGGTAGTGGCCACCACGTTCTCGCTAGGGCCCCTCCAAGAAATAATTGGTGTGTGTCGTATTAGGTTGAACTATAGCAAAGTGTCACTTTTGTAGGTCAAAGGAGTTTGCAATTGGTAAGTCCATCACCAATTAGTAAGAAAATCCGATAGATTTATTCCCCATTACATCTGCTGTACTCTGGTTTAGGTGCTAATGGTTTTAGTGACAGGCTTGAAGTATGAGGTACAGATGGCCCCCAGTAAAATCATCTCTCTGTGTATTCCTGCCCTGTGTAGTCCCCTCCCACATCGACTTTGGGCTGGCCCAGGTGATTTGCTTTGGCCAGTGGGACATTAGCAGACATGACAAAAGCTGAGACTCTGTAATTGCTTGCACTGAACTGTGGGGCTTGGCCTCTTCAACCACTGCCTTGAGATGACCATGCCGTGTGGAAGCCCAAGTTAGCCACATGCAGATGGAATATGGCACCCTGGTTGACTACCCCAGCTGACCCCACCCTTAGTCAATCCACCAGCTAGATGCAGCCACATGAGTGACCCTAAGCAAAACCTGCAGAACTGCTGGCCCAGCTGACTCACAGAACGGTGAAGAATCGTAAAGCTTGTTGTTTCAAGCCACTAAATTTTGGAGTGGTTTATTATAGAGCACTGGGCTTAGAGGAAGTGGCTAGATGTGAAGGGCCTGGTAACCCACAGGGTGGACAGTTAACGCTATGGTGTCTTGGCTGTATAATTAGCAGTAAGGTTTCTGTGAGCAGTGCATTACCCTCCACGCCCAGCAATAGAAAGACATTCTTAGAGGCTATTTTAAAGACTAGACTACTTACCTTTTGTCTCAGTAACTGCTCAGATTGTGACCTGGAGATGTTACCTGCAAACCAGCTGCAATAGAAAGGAATTCCATTTTGAGAATTAATAGGTTTTAATTGCCTAACTTGTCACTTCAGTTTCTCACCTGTAAAATGAGGCATTGACCCAGATCAGGGTTTTCCAAACCTGGCTGTTCAAGAGGATCACTTGAGGAGCTGTTAAAAACTCAGATTCCTAAGTCTCCACCACCCAGTTATGATTCTGGGGTGGGGCCTGCATATCTTTCCTGATCATTTCCCCAATGCATGCCTCTCACACCCCGTTGGAATCTAGAAATGATGGAGATAGAGACTGTCTATATGGTCAGATATGGGCTTTCCAAGTCAAAGAAAGCCTTCCAATTCATCTAAATGCGAAAGACTAAAATCCATGATTAGAGGTTCTCTCCCTTTGGTTTAAGTCTTTGTCACCTGTTAAACTATAAATATCTTTGAATAATTTTTGTACTAGCATTTCTCAGTCATTTTTCTTTTTAACATCTTTATTGGAGTATAGTTGCTTTACAGTGGTGTGTTAGTTTCTGCTTTATAACAAAGTGAATCAGTTATACATATACATATGTTCCCATATCTCTTCCCTCTTGCGTCTCCCTCCCTCCCACCCTCCCTCTCCCACCCTCCCTCTCCCACCCCTCTAGGTGGTCACAAAGCACCGAGCTGATCTCCCTGGGCTACACGGCTGCTTCCCACTAGCTTTCGGTTTTACATTTTGTATCTCAGTCATTTTTATCTTAGTTTGAATGATTCCAGTAGTTGCTTTCCAGAGGGTAGATGTTGGGGAAGAAGCTACAGTTAAAGGGGAACTAGAAGGTGCTGAAGAGTGACGTGTACTTTGTAAATGCTCTCACTGCACTCGTAGCCAATGAATCAATAACAGCACTCATACAAAACCAGAACTAGAAATATGTGTTATCCTAGTGTCCAACTGAATTGGTCGCTGTTGGGTAGCAGGTGTCTGAGAGATGCACTGTGCCATTACTCCCACCTCTCCTTAATGCCAGACTTTAAGTCCAGGAGACGATTATTTTGTCCCTATTTGTTGTCGAATGATAGAGTCTTAGATTTTGGAAAGGACCTTAACAACCACTTAAGACCACCCTGTCTCAGTATAATTGGGGCGATCACACATTCTTATTTGCCCAGAGGAGTCCAGTTTATGCCTGATGTCCAGATGTAACATTGAGCAGTGCACTCTTTCTCTTCCTAAAGTGTCCTAGTTTGGATGTTCAATGATAAGGTCACTCTAGGAATACGAATCTCTCAACATAAATGCTGTGATATTCAAGGCTCCGTTGTGCCACCTTGTAAAATTACTGCATCGTAACTAACTTCACAATTGGACTCGATGCTAATAAGAGCCTTCAAACATCACCCTGGCAAGGGGCCTCCAGGGAAGAAATAATCAGCAGAAATGTCATGGGCTGTATCTATGAAGTCAGAGCGAAATGAAGAGGAGGCCAGGTATGTGATAGATCCCAGGAATATGTGCAGCTGGTTTAGATCATCCAGACTGGGGAAAAATACTTTCATTAGTAACAACCCAGTTCATTGTCACCCATCCTCCAGATACATGGCCCAGAACCTCACATGAGTGTCTCCATGTAAATACAGCCTCCTGAGCAAGTTTGAACCATCTGCTTGTAACCTTAGGGGGAGAAAACAATAGAAACATCTATGTCTAGTTTTAGAGAAACACAGAGGACTTTCAAAACTCACTCATAGTCATCAAGGTTTTCCTCTTCTTCAGATGAACTTGACTCAGGGGATCCCCTTAAGAAGAGAGGGAATGACATGAATACAAAAAAAAAAAAAAACCACCAAGAAACAATCCAAGTGCCTCACAGTGCCATATCAAATCCCACCCTGCTTTCATCCATGTGAATAAAATCTGGACTGTTAGCTTTCCCTTTTTTGCACTTGGGAAGGTGTCAGCAAAGTGAAGAGAGAATTGCTTAAAAGTTGAGCTCATGCCCAGTTTCATGAGAAATTGGCTCCTTGATACAGAAGGCCCCCAGGAATGTAGATTTCTTAGACTCTGTCAGAAGAGCGGGCTCGTGAAATAAATGAGGATGCTTCCGAGAGAGCCGTGATACAAAGCTAGAGAAAATCTTGGTTGTGGATAGAGCTATTCTCAGAGAAGAGTTACGCAACTCTACGTTGTTTTCCCTCCTGCTAGAGATGCCTGAGCCCGGTGTGTCCGTGTTCATGAGAGCACCAGTGTATGTCATGAACCGTGGGTAGGAAATTGCAGCGTGACCCAGAAGCCATCAACTCAGACCACCTTCAGGGTTCAGAGAAGCAAACTACCTGGATTTGTTTTATATTTCCCTTAAAAAGTAAAGGCTAGTTGCAAAACTGTCACAAATGTGGTTAGTTTTCCTGCAAAAGGAAGAAATCCTGGGTGTAAAAGAATATCTGAATTTGATTTACCATGAAATCTTTAGGGTGCTGTGATCTACAACATTTCTTTCCCTTTGGTTACTGCATGCCATATCTTCACTGCTACAAAAAAGAGGGATACATTTCATAAATTGATGTTTATTTATAAATGTTAAATGACAAGAGTAGTTTTGTTAGATATGTTTCAGCTTTAACAGTTTGACCCATATATGTCACTTGGTTTGGAAATGGAAGCTAATGAGGCATTTTCACATTTTCATCCTTGCAGGGACTCCACTAAAAAGCAGTAGTTTGACAGGATGCCTAAAGAAAAGAGAATTTTTAATAATGGCTCATAATAACCCCAAACAATAGAAAACTTGGATTAATAAATCATCTTGACTGGGTTTGCCCTGATTTTCTTGTATGTATGCAAGCATTCTGTTGCTGATATATTTTAAAATAAGTTATTTTCCTCTTTGCTGTTATGATTGCAAAGGAAAGTCCTGAAAATACCAAACCGCTTAACTCCATGTGGACACAGATGGATCTGCAGGATTCTCTTCATCCTCTGCCACCCATCATTTTATCTCTCTCATTTGGGGTGCAAAGCGGAGCATGGGAAAGTACTGACTTCTCCAAGTCCAAAGGCTGTGTTATTTGGAATGTAGGACCTACTTCCTGTTTGCCTTCACAGCCCAAGGTCTTTTTCAAAACCACACTTCAGTGAATGCCTGGAGAAGCCCCAGCACAGCAATGCCTCCTTCCCCAGCTTCCCAAACAGCCTTGCTCACGAACATAGCTTTTTCCCTTCAGTTCTTCATAAGAAAACTCTTATTTAAAAATGCTAAGCGAAAAAAAAAAGCTAAGCGATTTATTTAGCCTTTTTGTGGTTTTTAAGAGCACGTGGAGAGTATCCATCAATTGTGCATCGCTTAGGTTTATCCACATGGGGGAATACTATACAGACATTCAAAGTAATCAGGCAGGTTGCACAGCACTGGGAATGTAATGGGCACCACTGAACTGTACAACTGCAAAATGACTAAGGCGGTAAATTTTACATTACGTTTTACCACAATGAAAACTTTAAAAAATTAAAAATTTAGTATGTCCTCATGTATTCAAATGGGAAAAATGTCCCAGATGTTAAATGAAAAGAGGAACTGGCAAAGAAGACTGTGTGGGCGAAGGTGTACGTCCTGAGAAGGCAGCCGTGGCCTCACTTGATTGACTAGTCATTTGGCCAGTGATGCCGAAGTGCATTAAAAAGTGACCCACTCTAAGCTCTCTCAGACAGAGGATATAGTTTAAAGATTTGGTGTTCTGGAACATGGGGTTATTTGGAGGTGGAGGGGAGAGAAAGGAAAGGGAATAAAATGCTCAAGTATTACTTAGATCATTAGACATGATCATCTACACGGAAAGTCTGTGCTGCTGAGTCTCAGCAGGGCCACCGCTACCCAGGCTTCCGGCTCAGGCACCGAACATTTTCTCAGAGGGCATCTCTATCTCAGCTGAGGCCTGTGTGGACCGAGTCGAGGCTCAGCTCCAAGGCAGTGGGGCAGTGTGTACTCTGTGCGCCGCACAGCCAGACTGAAAGCTGGGGTTTTACCTTTTCAGTCCTCTTACTTGCCACCAGTCAGGGCAGTCTTCTCTTGGCATAAACCGCATGTTGACGTTTGACTGGGAGCCACAGTTTTTCTTGGAGTCACTGTCATACTGAGCTAGAGCGGTACTTGAAGATGGTTCATCCATCTTGAGAATAGGAACTGCTCGAGGAATCTTCAGCTTTGGAGGATAAGAGATTTTAGTACATCACAGTGAGGCGCAGATGCATGAACTGGGGACTAACAACCAAAGTATATTAGCTCTTAAATTTTAAAAAATCGGAAGGAAGGGAGGAGGGAAGGGGGGGAGGGAGGAAGGAAGGGGAGGGGGGGGGGAGGGCGGGAGGGAGGGGGAAGGAGGAATGGGGAAGGGAGAAACGGGGGAGGGAGGGGGAGGGAATTACTTGCCAGAGACTAGATGCCATGGTTTTGGGCTCCTAAATTATCCTCTGCTCTTAGATTTGTTTAAAATAAACTTTATTAGCGTATAATTTACATACCACATACTATAAAATTCACCCTTTGTAAGTGTAGAATTCAGTGATTTTTAGTAAATTTATCAGGTTGAGCAGTCATCACCACAATCCAGTCTTAGCATCTTTCCATCACCGCTGTAAGATCTCTCGGGCCCATTTCTAGTTAGTCCCCGTTCCCATCCTGCCCCTAGGTAACCATTAATTGACCTTCGCTTATTCTGGACATTGCTCTTAGGTGTTTTACAGGGCTGTAATTTTCAAGCTTCAGGGCTGGAGCATGTATCCAAACCAAAAAAAGCAATATCACTGATAACAGACTAAAACTCCCAAACCTTAAAAATTCCAGCAGTTTCCTAGGGCTGCCATAACAAATTACTACACATCTGGTGGTTGAAGACAACAGAAATTGATTCTCTCACAGCTCTGGAGGTCAAAAGTCCAAAATCAAGGTTTCACTTAAAGGCTGTGGGGGAGGATCTTTGCTTGCCTCTTCCAGCTTCTGGTGGTTCTAGGCATTCTTGGCTTGTGGCATCATAAGTCCAATCTCTGCTTAGGTCTTTAAATAGCCTCCTTCTCTGTGTATCTCTCTGTGTCCCCTCATCTTCTTATAAGGACATCAGTCATTGAATTTATGATCTATCCTAATCCAGTATGATCTCATCTTGATCCTTAACTAATTATATCTGCAAAGACCCTCTTTACAAATGAGGTCACATTCTGAGGTTTTGGGTGGACATGAATCTGGGGAGACAAAAATTCAACCTATGACAATAATGGATTTCTTTTTGTCCTTCATGTTGGTTTACAAAAGTTATATGGTTTTTACTTAGATAGAAATAGAGAAGTAAGTACGTGTGAATGTGTGTAGGTGAAAATAAGTACCCAAGACACCACAGAGCTGATGGGTGGATGGAGATGCTCCCTTACTTTCAGGTGAGCTTCCAGAAAACCACAGGGAGGCCGTTTCATATGTCTCCTGGCATTTGAGGAGGCTGACACCTACCTGGGAAGCCTAAAAGCAGGGAGTGCGAGCCACATACAGTTTTACTAAGCAGAGCAATCAAGGTTTTGTTTGTTTTCCTGTAGGCCAACTCCACCCTTGAGTGAGGGTTGGCTAGGAGCCATCTTGAAAGGAACTCTGCCCTAGATGAGTGAATGGACCCAGTAGAAAGTTTGAGGGCTAGAAACCGAAGAGCTAAGGGTCAAGACATTTGCTCTGTCATAAAACTCCACCCCAGGGGGAAATCCACGAAAGTGTCCTGTATGATAAAGAATCAGCATTGGAAAACTGTCTCACCCAGAAGCCGCCACTACCAAATCATGATGGGAGTGGCCATGTATGACTGTCTCTTTTTCATTATACCCTCTCTTCCTGGGCCTCAATCCTGAAAGCGTCAGAAATCTCAGCCTCTCCCTGACCTCTCCCCCAAAGCAGGCTGCCCTCTGAATGCAGACTTGAGCCAAGGGAAGGGGGGCATGTTTTAACTTGAAATGACGTTTCGAGTCATGGGATTATAACATTGGATGGATCACTTTAGAGGCTGTTCTCATCACTACTAGTAATTGGGAAATTTTATGTCATCTGAGGTAATGACATACCTCAGGGACAGAGAAGAAAGCCCACCAAGTGGCTCTGAAGGGATAATGGAGGGAAAGAATTATATTCTGCTTGTGCCCTATGGGGTCCCATTCCTTTGCCAGGATACGTACACGAGGCAGACTTAGCCATGCTGGTGGTGGGGGAGGAATGTCAGCCAATAATAACTGCCTGTTATATGCGATGCCATCTTAAGGGCTTCTCCCACATACATCATTTTTTGTGTTTACAGGTTAGAAAAAGGCCTAGTCGTTAAATGCAAAAAAAACATAAAATGGTTCTTTGTTTGAATTTATTATTTGCTACTGCCATGGCTGTTGGCGATAGGTCACGTCTTCTCTCTCTTTGCTGGGCATTCTGAATGAAGCCCATGTATTCCAGTCTTGAATTTGGCAACTCTTGGTTTATTTAATATATCCTGACTATGAAAAAAATGGAAATGTTGACTTACCACTCTGTCTGGGAAGATGGGAACTCTGTGTTTTTCTTCTTTGGGTTCAATGTGCAGATCAGCATCTGAAGAGTAAAACCAAGTAATAGCAGAAAAAACTTTAAATAAAACAAAGCAAAACACCCAATGTTATGAATCAAAAGACTGAACTAGATTGTGTGAGCAATACTCCAGATTACATGAACTTAGAACATCTGGAGTGATTCTGTTGCTTTCCTGTATAATACCCAACTCAGATACCACTTCACCATTGATTATCAGTATCTTCCCAAGTGGATAAGAAATTCAAGGTCCTCTAAGTTCTATAAACTGTTACTTTATACCACATTTCTACCTCGTTTCTGAGTAACAGATATCTAATCTCATTGGGTAGTATCTACGAGCCTAGGATTCAGAATCCATGTCTGATTCTTCTTTGATCAGCTCATACAAGATGCATAGAAATAGCTGATTTGTAAGTGAACAAACTTATCCTATGCTTCCCCCCACCACCCCGTTGTTAGGATACTTGTTGGTTTTTCTTTCTACTCACACATGTAGATAGACATCCAGGTTGTGAGGGTGAAGCCATTGTATGTCTTATAAGTGGGGTCGCCATATGGTTTATTGACTCAGCTGGAACATTTCTGACAGTGATGGGTAGGCTTTTAATAATTATGCTAGGTCCCCAGCTGCAGGATGGATTGTCCCAAACAAATTGGGATGTATGGTCAACTTATTTATAGGCCATATATACCTTGGACAGAGGATGGTCCATGACATTTTGGAAACAGAAGGAAGCAAAGATGCCCAGCTGTTCCCTTCCTAGTAGATGTGCCTGCGGGTTGCCTTGTAGCTCAGCAGAGGAGGAGGCCGAGGGAAGAAGTGACACTTAGGCAGACAGACAATATCACAGCTGTCTGCAAGCCATGACACCTCTACTACGTTCTGTAGTTTTCTTCAGAGGCCGGCAGAGAGCCTTTGGCACCCAGGACACATGGCAGGTGCCATCCAGACAGGGCCCAGGAAGATAATCCCAAGGCAGTGCTCTCTCTGGCCTATTTTCCTGCTCTTTACCAGGGAGTTAGGGCAGAGTCAGAGCTGGAATCTGGCCTGCTGAGTAATAATGCTGACCATAGACAGAATCATTAGGGTAAATGATTAATGCTGTAAGGAGACATTACTCTCTGGCCCTTCACACTGGAGGGAAGATCCATGCACAGTCCATTCTGTATAGTTAATTAAATCATTACAATTCATGAGTATAAAGGGCAATGTGATCTAATTAAGATGAATAAATATTCATTGTATAGTTTAATTGAGATGGGAAATACAATGAATATTTAGTCACTGATTTTTTTGTGTGTGTGTGTGGTATGCGGGCCTCTCACTGTGTGGCCTCTCCCGTTGCAGAGCACAGGCTCCAGACGCGCAGGCTCAGCGGCCATGGCTCACGGGCCCAGCCACTCCGCGGCATGTGGGGTCTTCCCGGACCGGGGCACGAACCTGTGTCCCCTGCATCGGCAGGCGGACTCTTAACCACTGCGCCACCAGGGAAGCCCTAGTCACTGATTTTGTTGTAAAATTACCCATAGTAACATTAACACGATTGTCGGGGGTCAATACTATTGTAGGGTGAATTTGAATAATATTTCACATCCTTGTTTTACAGTTCTTGAAGTTGTTACCATGCAGCTGATCTCATTTAATTCTTTAAAGTCATTATAGTCCAAGCATAGTTTGTCCAGGCTGGTAAAACTGTTACCAAAATAAGTTCTCCTTCTTATTTATCAACAACTTCATGTTGTTAAACAATGATACACTTCTAAAATATATGACTGCTTCATGTAAGTATCCTGGTGATACAGTAGGACCCCGTAGGGCACAAGCAAAAAACAGCATAATTCTTTCCCTCCATTAGCCCTTCAGAGCCACTCAGTGGGCTTTCTGTCCCTGGATAAAGTGTCAGGCAGATTTCCCTGGGAATAAAACTCTGGGTAGAATCCGATTGCACGTAAAGCAAACCCTACACTACTTTCTGTGATGTTATTAAGAAATCAGCAAACATGTACAGAATGGCAAACCACGTTAAATATGTCTTTGAAAACTTGGCCATCTATCATTTTGGTATATATGGTGATTAAAAGTGTTACTTAAATTTTATCCTTGGACATATTTTTGAAAAGAATGTTGGTTTTTTAAGTTTATGATGTTAGTTTGTGCACCATGGTGATATGTTCACCACTTTCTACCCATCTGGAGTTTATCTTCAACCAGGAAGAATTTTGGGAGGAAATAAACAGCTCCTTGCTTGATTTATGATTTCCGTTTAAAAATATTTCTCATGACATGAACGAATGGCAGATGTTCATATTGTTATTATTTTAAGGAACATGACTCAGTTGACCCTGGAATTAGATTTCATTTGCTAGATATCATGTTCAAGGCTGGATATTCATGATGCTGACCAATCTGGCACATCTTGTTTTCCTGAACTGGCGAGCTGTTCTGGCATTTGCCAGGTTTGCCTAAAGGGCATCGTCCACCCGGGGTCCAGCCCAGCAGAGGGGTCACATTACATGCTTCCCAGAGAGCACATCCGGGGGCCGCTTTGCAGCTCTGCTGGCAGCACAGGAACTTCCCGCACACGAAGAACCCACTGTGGTACTTGATCAGCAGATGGGGGTTGCCCCTTATCTCTGGGGAGCAGGCAGGAAGAAAGCACAGCATGAGTAAACGTTGGCCCAAGAGAAGAAACACATTCAGTAAGTGCTGTTATCAGAAAACAATGAAAACCTCATTTTGCTAGCAACCAGCCTAAGGGCAAATGGTTCCCAAAGGATGTAAGACTTTCCCTCAGAAGTTACAAAGCCAAAAAGAAAAGTCTAATCGTGTTTTAGTAAGAACAACACAATAACTTCTATCAGTCTTTAAAAAATACTGCTAGAAACTACATATACGCATCAGCTTGGTGTTAGGATTTTAGAGTAGGACTAGATCTTAGCAAGAAGAAAAGAAGTTTCCAATAAACATATACTCCCCCCGCTTCTGCTTTTTATTTTGAAACATTTCGGATGTGCAGAAAAGTTGCAAGAATAGTGCAGTGAATGTCCATATATACTTCACACAGAGTCACCAACTTTTAACTGTTTGCCACATTTGTTTCATCTCGTTTTCTCTCTGTACATACACATTATTATTATTATTAAAATTTTTTATCATTATTATATTTTGCTTAACCATTTGAGAGTAAGTCACAGATATCATGACCTAAATAATGTCATCCATCACTACTTGAGCATGTAACTTCTGTTAACAAGGACATTTCCTTACATAACCGTGATACAATTATCAAATTCAAGAAAATTAACACTGATACCATACTATTACTTAATATATATTTTGTATTCAAAACTTTTCCAGTTATTCCAATAATACCCTTTGTAATCATTCACTTTTTCTGATCGAGGATCCAGTCTAGAAACACACAGGGCATTTAGTTATCTAGTTTTTCCTGAGCTAGAACAGTTCCTCATCCCTTCTTGGTCTTCCGTGACTTTTGACCTGTTTCCACTAAGGAATAAATGGTTTATGGGGCTACTTTTCTAGAAATATGTGCATATTTAAAAAAACCACCATGGGACTAGGGCAATGTTGAATCCAAAGAAACGAAATTCTAATATTGGAGTATAATATTGTGTCTACAACAAATTCACCTCTCTCGAAATACAGCATAGAAGCCTACAAGGTCTTAGTAGAGAACAGTTCAACAGGATTCTCCGGGTAGGGAGGGCTGGTTCTCCGTGTGACTTAAACTCTTTCCTTCTTGATTTTGTATTCATCTTGAGGATTCCTTATTTTGATCCCAGGAGAACTCCTGGGATCAAAGTCCTGTGGCCCGACTCTGGGCTGGAATCAGGAATATTCCAAAGAGTTGATAGTCTTTTGCTTTTGGCAAAACTCTGCTTAATCCAATGGGTTTGTCCCTGTACAGTAGATTTTCCAAATGGAATAATAAACTTTAATATAAAGTAAAAAACAAAACAAAACAAAAACCAAAAAAACAAACAAAAAAAACCCCTTCTTTACAACCATGACTCAAGGAAGTGTTTGGGGATAATAATATCTGCTTTGCTGGGTCACTGGGAGGAGATGAGCCAATGTATGTAAAGCATCCAGCACAGCGTTTGGCTCAGAGTAGGTGCTCAATGAACAGTGGGCTTTAATGATATCATTCCCTTAGTTTAACCCAGCTCAGCTTAGCTGAAAATTCTGGCATAAAAAAACTTTACCAAATATTAATGGGAAATTATTACAAAAGTCACAAAAAGCGAAAGAAGTTAAGATTACAAAACACTAGTTTCTGACCTTGGTCCCAAATGGTCATTGAAGTTCCTTGGGCACATTTCTTGCCTTCCTGCTCTATAAGCTCCTGGTCTCCATGTACCAGGGTTCCTATTATTTTCTATTACATAGATTTGGTTTCCTGGGGAACTAATTGTTTTCCAGCCAAGTCCAAAAGTCCACATTGCAACACTCCCACCATCTAATAATGACAATAAGAGGAACTCATATATTGATATGTGTCTAGGACCTTACATTTACATATTTTCCCTCACACCATCTCATTTCACCTACTCAGCAACCCTGGGGGGAGCTATTACTGTTATCATGGCTCTTACAGAGTCAGGTAAACTGAGGTGCAGAGCGATGGTGTAACTTGCTCAAATTCACAAATCTAGTCAATAGCGTATTTGAGACTCGGGCCCAAGCTTTCTCTACTATATTCCAATGCCCAGATGCCAGCTTCCCTGCCAAACCCCCCTTCAGTTTTGATTTTTGGAAAGAAGGATACAGTTTATTCACATCTGGTCAGCTGAATTCAGAGCCATGGTAGCTGATCTCGCTCACCTTCTCTCTTGCTGTCTTCCAGCACAGAGGCTGGAAAAGCCATATCCTGTGTTCCAGCTTCCTTTGCACACAGAGATGGCCATGAGACACAGTTCTGGCCAACGAGACACGAACAAAAGTTTGCAGAGGGGCTTCTGGGAAAGCTCAAGAGCCTTTCTGGGAACCTCTTAAGGGTGGCAGAGCAGAATCAGAAGGAGCCAGGGTTCCTACTGACTTCATTGAGCTGCTGCACCAGCCCTAGGTTTGCTTACCTCTGGCCATGGAAGAGGAACAAACATGTATCTGTTTCAGCAACTGTTTGGTGTCTTTTTACCTGCATCCCAAAGCATTATTAAATGATACAAATGGCTTACTATGCACATGGCAGCCTTAGTGATAGGGCCTCTCTGCAGCTTATGAGGGGCTAAGAGGTTCACTTCTGCTTCTCTCTCTGCTTTCCTTTTATGTTCCATAAGCCTTCACATGAGCTGCCCAGGGCCCACCCAAACCTGCCTACCATATATAGTTCCAGAAAGACCCACACAGAACCCTAGTGCGTGACAAATAGCTGCACACAGGGGGTGTCTACATAGCAACTGCCCCTGGCAAATCCCCCCAAAGGAGACTGAATGGGAAGCAGCATCTTAGAGCTCCTCCCGGAGGCCCCGCTATAACACAGTGGTTCATGTTTGTGTGTCGGACTCTTTAATGTATTTATGAGTCATTCATTTCTGGCTCGTGAATGCTCTAGGAAAAAAGAAATCTGATCTCCCATTTTACAGGTCAGGAAACTGAGACCCAGAGACGTTAGATGGTTTTATAGATGACACAGCAAAGCAGCACTTGTTCGCAGATTTGTCTGACTCTAAGAAGGATGCTCTTCTTACTTTTCAACAAGCTGGCGGCAGGTAGAGGGAGGCTTTTCTCTTACCTGGACCACTTGATTCTCCTACAGAATAGGTTGCTAAACCCTTTCATACAAAGGGAAAATTAAGCCCTATGAGTGAAAAAGGATGTATTTGCATTGAAGTAGAGTAGGTGGTTGTCTAAGTGGTGTAATTTGAGGGGTAGTGAGAAGAGCCCGAATCTAAAATGAAGTAAAGTCTTCCCCCATCTGGGAGCTTAATATCTGAAATTTCACCAACAGAGTCACTCGTTTGAGTTAAATATTGTCCTCACACCATTACCCACCTTTAAAATAAAAATATCATAGGGAGAAACATCATAGTGCCAAATTAGTAATAATTTTCTCTCTTCTGTCAAAGGTTGTTACCAGGGCAGCCTAAAAATCACTAAATAAATGTTTCATGAAATTCCCAGTTTTGCCTGGCATTTATACTGTACTGTTTAAAAAGTTGGGTTTGGGTAATTGAATTACGTGTTCTCCATAATTAGGTATGTGACGTTTGCCATGTCTGTGTAATTTCACTTATCTGAAAAATGGAGAATAGTATTATTACCTCTTGCCATGGAGTTGTCGAGAGGATTACCTAAGAAAATGTTTCCAACTACTTGACACAGTAGCTGGCAAATGGTAAGTATTAGTAAGTATTAGACATAATTTTCTGTAAATACCCAAAGTACAGTAGGTACGGGACCCAAGAGAGAGCCCCATGAGGATCTAGACTTTGCTCTGATAAAGGCAAGCACAGTGGGTGGAGAGCAGGTGGTCTGGCTTCCTCCTAGCTGTGGGGAAGGCACAATACCCAGCTGTGTGCTGGGCAGGAAAGGGAACACGATGCCCAGGCTTCCTCTAGGTAACAAAGCGAATGCAAAACAAGGATGAGTGCAGCACATTCTCTGAGGTTGGTAGGAAAATCAACAGATTTCTCTATTGGTGTTAGGCCCTTTTATTGCCATATCTTTCCTCCACTAAGCCTCGAAAGAGCTCAGTCAGAGACTCCCTTTGATGACATTTTAAAAAACTTACCTTTTTGTAATGCTTTCAGCCACTGACTTCGGCTCTCTTCATTTGATGCATACACATAGAGAAGCCCATCTTTATACACAATCTGGAAAGGAAAAGATTTGGTGCATTTAGATATAATTGTGTTATAGTTCACTCTGGTACAACTACAAATTTTTGTTATCCAAGAGAAACACTGAGTTTGCCTATATAATACACATTAGCTCTGGAATTAGATTTTTTAAATCTAGTTATTTTTATCCTCCACCCCTCAGTTTATTTTAGCCCAGACACCTCTACGCTTTGGAAAATCACAGCAATGATGCATCTGACAGCAGTGAACATTGAGGCCTCAGCAGGAATGCCCTGGACCATGGAGAATTATAAAAGTATAAAATGTTAGACATTACAGGTGTCTTAGAAGTGTTCTGGTCTATCCACCAACCCAGTGCATGACTGTATTTATAGCCCACTGGAAAATGTTTATCTGCTCTATCCTTGAAAATATGTTCAGGGATAGAATGTCCTTTACTTTTGCTATGCCATCCTTGCCAATTTCCATTCATTCTGATCATTTTATGGTTCATGCTTATATTGAGTGAAAATATGTCTTCCTGTTACTTTACTCCCTTGGGTCATGTCCCACCCTGGGAATCCCCAGTATAAGTCATTTTCTATTCCTTATGATACTTGGTGAAATGTTTGAACATTCCAATGTCTGCCCCAGATCCTTCTCTAGTTTATTCAGCTTTTGTGGGTAAACGATACAGACCATTTATTAAATACCAACTAGTTTCTGGGCTCTTTCCTAGATAATTTAACATTTTAATTCCCTTTCAAGTCTATAAAAATATATGATTATGCCCACTTTGCAAATGAAGAAACAAACTCAGAGAGAGGTTGAGAAGGTTGTCTGTGGTTACACAAATATAAGCAATGGGGCTGGGAGCTCTGGCGTTCCAAAGCTCATGTTCTTTTGAGTATTCCATGCCATGGTGATACTCATTTGAAGCATCTTCCATGAGCACACGCTCCTCCGGTTTTTCCCAATTGGGCAATGTTCTTTTTTTTTAAGTGGGAACTATGGACTGTTCACTGAGTGGATTATTTTATTTTATTTCATTTTTTGGCCACTGTTCCCTCATAGTAGCACAGGGTAGTCTGACCATTGGAAGAACAGTCTGTCTGTCTCTAGAGCAGAAAGATAAGTTTTCTTGATATAATAAAAGTAGGGCAGGTGTTAGATCAAGTCACTTCCATGGGGTACTGTAGGCACCCTCTCCGTAGGAGACCAGCGTTTGAAATACTTCAGGGTAAAATTCAAACTCCTTAGCGTGCTATGCAAAGCCATTTGTGATATGGCCCTGGCTACCTCTCCAGGCTCGTCTCTCACTCTTTCATGGGGCTGCTTAATTCTGAGCACCACCCGGATTTCTCCAAACATGCCACACTGTTTCACCTACCAGGGTCCTGACATCTGCTGTTTCTTTGGTTTCGCTGCCCTTCCTGTTTTTGCTGGGCTAAACTCCCATTGTTCTTACCAACCTGAGTGCCACCTCCAACAGGAAATCTCCCTGACCTCTTGGAGTGAGAAGTGCAGCTTCTCCGTTCTGGGACACCATGGCTACGCTGCCACCTTCGTCTTAACACTCACCTCCCTGCATTATAATGCTCTGTAAATGCCTTGGGGACAGAGGTAGTGTGCCTAGTACCTTGTAGCATATTGGAAATGCTGCGCAATGTTTGATGAAACAGATCATCAGACCCCAAGGCAAGTCAGACCACTAAGGCCTACACACTCATCTATCTATCCTTGTCTCCCACCAGGGAAGGCAGCTTGGTGGATAGAATTTTAGCAAACTGCCCCAATCCCATCTGGGGATGTTCCAAATTCAGAGAGAGGTTGAGAATGCTCTCTATGGTTACACAAATATGAGCACCTGCCATTGTCTTAATGAATCATTTAGCAACATCTTTATCCCCCCCAATACTGAGTTCATAATAGAAAATATTAAAAGAAGAGCCATCCATCCGATGGAATGTTATCCCTCCCCTTACCTGAAATGGGTACTGTCTCTCCACGGGGGTCTGCTCCTCAAGATTTACTTTCTCCACACATCTGATTTTCTTAATCTCAATTGATCCCTTTCTGCTGCCTCTTTTCTGAATTAAAAGGAAAATATAAGATGCCTCATGTGATATACAGTGGTGCACAAAGAACAGAATCAAGTTAACGTTACACTTAGGAGGGAGATTGGGAGATGAGATGGGCACATGAGAATCATTCCAATTATTCCATAATAGTCAAAATCCAATGATGAGAGAATGTATTTTTCGAGTGTGGACATAAACTCCTCCAAGAGCAAGTCTTCAAGCAGCACTTAATTTTTTTTGTTAGTCGTGAAACGCATTTCAGATCACCTGCCATATGGTTAATCTATTCAGGAAAATTAAGCATCTTCATCTTGTTTCAATTTTATGACAGTATTTCAGTATTTGTACTGTGATAGAATTCTCAGCTGCACAGAAATAGTCTTATTTTCAGCATTTGCTAAGACAGGGTTTCTCACCTTCAGCACTGTTCGGGGCCAGATGATTCTTTGTGGTGGAGCCAGCCTGTGCACTGTGGGATGTTCAGCTGCGTCCCTGGCCTCCACCCACTCGATGCCAGTAGCAAACTGCCCCCCTCCCGCAGTGATGACAACCAAAAATGTCCCCAGCCATTGCCAAGTATCCTTTGGAGGGCAAAATCACCCTCAGTTGAGAACCACTGTTCTAAAGTTACAATTTGCCTTAGTAAAGTTAAGCAATGTTTGAAAATGCTTTATCTTGAATTAATTATAACTTGGCTAAGAAAAGACAATGTGATGAGTACAAGTTGATTTTTACTGTGTTCGCTAAGAAACCTGATGTTTCCTTATATTAAGCACTTTGTGGAGACTTGAGAAAAATAAGTAGCATTAAAAACAATGAAATAAATAGGGTCTCACCATTTTGTCATATTCATAGTAGGAGAGGTTTGTTTTGGTCAAAACAAAAAGCCGCTCTTTGTAATTATTGGGTGACATTTTCTTCTTTTGCTGTGACCTTTTGAGAAGAAGTTCTTCTAGAATGGATTCTGTGTTCATATTGTCGTCCTAAATAAAATAAAATGATTAGAATGAATGTTGGCAGCGTCTAGCTAGGTTGTCTTTTAGCTTTCATAATTTTTATTCAACTATTTCTCATTAACGAATAATACAAATAGTTTTTTTAAAATTAGATTTAACAGTATAGAGGAAAATGCAATGAAGCAGGCTCTTTTTTTTTTTTTTTTTTTTTTTTTTTGCGGTACGTGGGCCTCTCACTGTTGTGGCCTCTCCCATTGCGGAGCACAGGCTCCGGACGAGCAAGGCTCAGCGGCCATGGCTCACGGGCCCAGCCACTCCGCGGCATATGGGACCTTCCCGGACTGGGACACGAACCCGTGTCCCCTGCATCGGCAGGCGGACTCCCAACCACTGCGCCACCAGGGAAGCCCTGAAGCAGGTTCTTAAACACACACATTCCTGCACTTTTTTCCTACTGCCCTGGCTTTGACGTGTTTAAATACGTTGATATTTTTATAGCATTTTATGCATTGTACTCATCTCCCACTTTGGATCATAAATTCACCATCTTCACACTACGTTCCAGACCACCATGTCAAAATTCTCCTTTTTCCTTAAACATTCTAGGGACATCTGTTGAATTGAATTGAATAGCATCCAACTTTAAACAATCTGAACTCCAGACAGTTCATCGTGTCTGAAGTAACTGATCAGCTGAAATTTCTCTCCACTAATGTGGCCCATTGTTGGATCAAATTATCCAAACCACTTTGAGACTCTGATATTGTTGTAAATGACACCACAGTCCCTGAACATGATCAGATCTTTAGCATAAAGGACTTGGGTATAATTTTCACTGTTTCTGAGCATAAAACATTTTCAAAAGCTGTCAAAAGAGATTTAAAAGAACTGAAAGAATTGGTGCTTCATAAACTAAAAACACTCTTGCTTTTTCTTCCAAAACTGCATAAAACATTAAAAGTTAAGGTATTTCTGGAAAATAAATGCATTCATTTTCTGGTTCTACTAAGACTTGCTTCAACCCTCTGTCTGGTATCAGGTCTAGTAATGAAAAGCAATGCTGAGCAGTCGGCCACAAGAGACCAACTTCCTTATGTTCTTTGCTTTGTGAAATCACGTGCTTATTAGCAGTCAGATGCCCAATCATTACTATCTTTCTTTGTTTATTGATAATCTGAAGGTAATTAACTTTACTCACCTTAATTTCGACAGAGCTGAAGAAGTGTGCTTGTAGGTCTTTCACTCTCAAGCTCTAGGCAAAAAGTCACTGCTCTGAGACACCCCACTCATTTTCCCTCTGGCTATGCCAGGGTCATGCATTAAAAAGAAGATATTTGCATCCTATCTATCACCTGATCAGGAAGCAGCCACACAGTCACTAAGGGGCATGGCCGCAGAGTATGATGTATATGGTAGGAGTGGAAGAAAGGGAGACTAAGAAACTCTGCTTGGCGTTGAATAAACCACGGTCAGGCCCAGCCAGCTTCCCTCCTGACATAGGCTACACCACTCTAAAGATGGGAATCAAGCAAATCAGCTTTTATTATTTATCTACATAGTCAGAACATATCTACATGTTCTCCAAGGGCATTGTTCGTCTCCTAGGCAGAAGTAGTAGAAATCTTAGCCATTAAATATAATAAAGACTTGGCCACTTTTTGCTTTGAATATTTTTACCTGGAAATAAAGTATAATTCTTTTGTGAAAGTAGAATGGGTTCCCTTTTGAGCCCAGTGAGTGCTATTCTCCATGGCCACTGGTTTATTTGTCCTGGACTCAAAGATGAGGCAAAGATCAGGGCACAGTCAACCCAGCCGGCCCTGGGAAGGCAGGGAGCACGCCTCCCTTCACCTTTGCCTCCGTGGTAACCTCTGCGCACACGCCTGTTCAGATAAGATTATTTTCTACACCCGTAGTCTATGGCCGGAAGAGAATTTGCTTGAAGACTTACTGAAACTCTGGAATGTCTACTTTTTGTGAGTTAAAGTTCCCTTTGGAGGAGCCATATCACACTGGGCAGAGGTGTAGGGAACTTTTTGCCTTTTAAATTTCTCCATGAAAAAAATTAACAGAGCAGAAAGAGAACACTGTGAAAACTCTTGTCAAATGTCTTTTACATCCACAGCTAAAACATTCCTCCTCAAAGCAGAGTGGTAGTTAAATAGATCTGGTTAGTTGAATACAAAGTTAACTTTTCAACACTTATTTTCAGACGCTGAATCAATTTGTAACATTAAGAGCACTGTTTTAAAAATGCAAATCCCAATGTCCAAGGTAGAGCACAGCCCTTCTCGTACTACATGCTGATACACATGCTTCTCTGTTTATAGAACTTGCACATTCATCACATGAAGAATGGTTTCTTGGGGAATTTTATCTAAAAAATGAATATGATGAGCCACTGAAAGCACTGACAAATGAAATTCACAAAGTCGCTTCTGTATATTGAAGGGAAGAAGGACATCGAGTAGAAAGGAAGGTACCAAGTCCTCAAGAACATTTTCTAATAAATCTCCAAGAGTTTATACACGTCGTTGCATCTAATGAAACATAATTTGTCAAATGTTAACAAAAATGTTTATTCCAAATCCTGCCCTTTGTGAATTTTTTGGCTTTCATCTTTAAAATCATATGTGATGTATGTTTATTCGACAAAAGCAAGAACTACAGACAAGCAAAAGAAAACTTAACTTTTTGGTGAACATACCTTTAGATTTTTTTCAAATTACACATGCAGGTGTTTATTTTCACACAAATGAGTTCACATGCTATGCATACGTGTCTGTAATCTATGGTTCTCATGTCACACACACCTGGAGCCACCTGCCTCTGAAGTCCTTCAAAGTTCCACTCCCTAAGCTGGATTCCAGAGCATCTTAACAAAGTTAAAGAACCCTGTTTTGATGACTCACGCTTCTTTCACCTCCCGATCAGTTTCTTCTGAGACAGTACTTGGTTCCTGATCAAGTTTGGACCTGCCTTTCTCCTTCTATTTGCTTCTATCCCTTCCTTGTACTTCCCTCTTCTCCTAGAGTAGCCTAGATTCTAAACTGAAGGCATTTCTATGGTGAGGACTAATTTTTAGAAATGGAACGTCTCTCGCCTTGTATTAGGACAGTAAGTCAACAGGGCTCCAGGGCCACTGTTCACTCAACCGCCTGTCCAGCGACTAGCAAACTCGGCTCTGCCTACCCACATTTAAGGGAAATTCAGTTGGGAAGGTGTTTTTTTTTAAACTAAACAAAATAAAATTTGATCCTAAAGCTAGAAACCAGAAATCTATTTCCATAGAGGAGCTGGTGCGAGTTGGCTGGACACTCATATATCTCTACCTACATAGAATAGACACACCAATTTGCTTACCAAATAGCTCAGGCTGCCTATTTCCATAAACATATGAAACTAGAAAGATTAAAGTGCAGGGGAGGCCAAAAAAAAAAAAACCTGTCAGAAATCAGTACAGTATTTTCTATAAGGAAGTCAGCAACCACTGTGTAAGTTTTAAACATAAAAGGTGCATGCTGAATCAACCAGACTTGGAATCATTATGGTTACTTAGCATTTATAAGGAAATGATACCATGAGAGTAAGGAGTTCAAGCCTGCACATATGTGCGGCACACTTGATGTTGAGCCTACAGTGTGCTTGAGTGACAATGAACGGGTTTGAGAGATAGTTCCAGTAGCTCAGGGATATGCAAGCTTGCTGTGGGCTGGTAGACTCAGAAGCCTTCCAAGAGGTGACAGGACTGTCACTCGTGCACTGTGTCACCCTGACCAAGCCCCTTCCGTGCTGTAAATGTTAGTTTTCTCACCTGTGAAATGAAACGGGTAACAGCTCTTTCACTTTCTGTGACTTAAACGAGGAACTTTCTGTGAAAACACTGGGCACGCTATGGGTACCCATAAGTTATTTATGATTAAAAGAGAAAAAGGTGGAGAGAAACAACTCAAGTTAGAGAGGAGTCCTTACTCTTTGCTACAAAAGGCCCGAGGAAGGAAAACTTATTATTTTTCTTAAGATAATTGAGAAAGATATTATGGAAGAGAGGGCATTCAGGTTGGACCTTGAAGGATGTGAGTGATCGCGGTGATGATAATCCTGGCTAACATTTAAGGAGGGCTCACGAAGTGCCAGGAGCTCTTTAAAGAACCTTAAAAAGATGCATTTGTTTACTGGTCACAACGGCCCTATGGGGTAGGCCATAAACAGCCCCATCCTGTGGGGTAAGTTGTAACAAAGCCCCCCTACGGGGTAGGTTGCAGCATCATTCCCTGCTTATAGCTGATGACGCTGTCACAGATAAGTAAACCGACCAGGCCACACTGCAAGTGCGCAGGAGCTGGGGTCTGAATCCAGGCAGTCTAACTCCATAGCCCATATTCATTTTATTTTATGTTGGAGAAATATAAAAAAAAATTTTAATTGAAGTATAGTTGATTTACAATATTATATTAGTTTCAGGTGTACAGCATACTGATTCAATATTTTTTTAGATTACATTCCTTTTAAAGTTATTAGAAAACAATGGCTCTATTTCCCTGTGCTGTACAATATATCCTTGTTGCTTATCCATTCTTTTTTATTGAAGTATAGTTGATTTACAATATTGTGTTAGTTTCAGGTGTAGAGCACAGTGATTCAGATATATATATATATATATATTCTTTTTCAGATTCTTTTCCCATATAGGTTATTACAGAATATTGAGTAGAGTTCCCTGTGCTATACAGTAGGTCCTCGTTGTTTATCTATTTTATATATAGTGGTGTGTATCTGTTAATCCCAAACTCCTAGTGTATCCCTCCCTGCCCTTTCCCCTTTGGTAAGCATAAGTTTGTTTTCTATGTCTGTGCCCAGCCCATGTTCTTGACCACAATGCAGATGTTCGAGAAGGATATGCCAGCTGTGTAACGCTCCTAATCAGAGAAGGCTCTAACCTAAATGTAGGAAGGCAGCCACAGGGTATCAAAGGTGGTAGGAACCCTAGAAGTCATTTTATAGATGCAACACTGAGCCCTGGCGGCCTAGGTGACTTAGCCAGAATCACGACACTGTGACTAGAGAGACACAGCCCACGGAGCCAGATCACTGGTGTCCTGCCTGGGACACTTGCCCACACCATCATGGCAATAAATACACTAAAAGAGATCTATGTGTTCAGCTGAATGTATGATAGCCTTGCTAAAGCCTGTGGTCTGGTAGAACTAGGCATAAATTTGAGGCTGACCAGATACACGCAAGGGAGCTTTTACTGGAAATATCAGAAAGATGTGACCTATAAATAAGGAACCTTTAGAGGTTCCTTCTTTCAGCAGGAACCTCTAAAGCAGTGTTAAATAGCAAAACTCTAGCCCACGTTTTGAAAATAGGTAAGAACATACAATCTCAGAAGTTGGAATAAATTCTAAGTGGTGCAAAAGGGGCGCAGGAGTCAGGAAAGGAAGGGAGAAAGGTATGTATAGTTAATTGGGGCCATTGGATAGCTCCCTCAATTAAAATGTATATTCCCTGGCTGGCTCAGGATGGTGGCTTTAAAGCTTTATTTTTTAGAATTGAGAGATGAGGGTAGCAGTTCCTTACCCCTTTATTTGATTTGGTTATCCTCCCTTACTTTATGTATCATTTACCTAAGATTTTGGTAGGTGTCAAGATATTAAAATAATACGTGTGGTGGGAGGGCAGTGGAGGGGGGAGGGCGGGAAGGAAAGGGAAGACGCTCCAAGTGCGGACTGGGATGGGGGCTCCGAAAGCCAAAATGGTGGACCTGTGGCAAACTTGACCTTCAGATACTTGCCCAAGGGCAGGCCTGCTTATCTTCCTGCTAAATAACTGAACAAAATATGATGGTAAGTTAAACAGGAACAGAAAGCTTAACTCAGAATCAGGTAAAGTGGTTCAAAAATATAACTCTTAAGATGCTGGCCAAAGACAAATACCAGCTGCACAGAAGCTGACAGATCCCCGTTTCATAGGACATTTTGCAGGCGAGAGAAAGTTACAGTTGATCTCGGCATGATACGGACAGAAATCCTTTAACATTGATACTTGAATCCAGCATTTTGAAACACCATACCTCGGTTGCTCCAAAATGAATTTATGGAAAGCACACACTTTAGGAAGCCATTTTTGCACAGAGAATGCCAATGCCTTTCCTGTTAGAGCTAAAATTTGCTTTTGGTGTGAAGCTCATCTTCAGTGCCTCACAGAGCTTTGCTAAGGCCTTTCCTTCTTTTCAGCAACCTCTTTCCTTCTGCTCCCTCCCCTCTGCCCAGCGCACCCCTCTGGGCACCTTCCTTAGAAGAAAAGCAAAAAGTGATAAATTCACGTCCTAATACATCATGCTGAGTTAGTTTAACACGTAACACTGCTAAGGATACAGGTTGGTGTGGACAAAAGCACCAAGATTTTGGGGGTTCAGATCCCTGGCCTGTCTCTATGCTATGGCCTAGCACCCTAGTAGATGTTCCAGAAACCTGCACCCCTTCCCCTTATCACTCTGTAGGCAAAGTTTTTAAAAAGACCATAGCAAAGTGTAAAAACTGGAGACAACGAGATGACCTCAACATAAACGTTTAGTCCTCACCCTCCTTCCCCCAGCCCCCTGGGGATAGGAGATATTGGGAGGGGAAGACACCTCATGCCTTCTCTCGTCAACAAGTACCTGCTCCGTGGCTCTGTTATGGCCTTGCAATCCTGGGACTGGTTACCTTAAAATCAGTTTGACTGTGTATTTGTGCCACCGATTTCTAACAAATAAGTACGTGGATGTGACTCCAAGTGTGGCCCACGGACAGGCAGTATCAGCATACCCTGGGAGCTTGTTTGAAATTCATACTCTCAGATCCCGCCCCAGCCCTAGTGCATCAGAATCTGTATTTTAGTGAGATACCAGGTGACTTATGTGCACGTGAGAGTTGGAGAAGCAATGACCTAGAGCACATTATAGTTGTACTACTTTTTAAATCCAGTGAAACCATCATGGTCTGCGAGAACTTTCAAAATTCTATGTATGTGGCTGCAACTGTGTGGTTCACCTCCGTCCCATCTTTCTACCTCCATCTAGAATACCCACAGGCCCCTGACTTAGGGAGACTTCAGGAAGCTAAGAATAAATATTCGTAGCAAAAAAAAAAACCATCATAGAGCACAGATAAGTAAAAGAAGGCATGACTAACATTTTTTTTGTCTTTTGGGGAGCAATTACAAAGCCAATATGAAAAGTCACAGAAGGACCTATAATGGAAAATAATCTGAAAAAGGATAGATTTTTATAAATATGTGTATATATATATATATGTATGACTGACTCACTTTACTGTACGCCTGAAACTAACACAACACTCTAAATCGACTACACTTCAATTAAAAAAGTAAATAAAGGGGAAATAAAGAAAAGTCCTCAAAGGGCAATGTCTTAAGAATAGTATGGAGAAAATCAGCAGAGGAATAGACACAAAGCTAGATCAAGCTGATGGTCATGTACACACAACCTGACAGGTTCCCTGAACGAGATCTTGAGCTAGGAGGGAATTTCCAGTGACTCTTCTATAGCAGGGCCCCGAATGACATGGTCCCATCCAAAGCCCCCAGAGGAGCCCCAGCAATTTCACCTTCATAATTTTGCACTGTTTTTCTTAAAGCATCCCCCTCCCCCCAAGTTTGTGAACTTCAGGCTCTACAACACCCAGATCCGAACCTATTTTCCTGTAGGACATGACGCTGTAGAGCCACCTGCCCTTCCACGTACCATTTTGCCTGGCTCTGTTGCCCGGGTCCACGGTGGTGAGGTCGCTCTGCTCTTGTAGGGACTCAGCCGCAGCTGTCCTCCTTCCAGCAGCCGCAAATTGCCTCACATTTTCCCGGCTGCTGGGTCAGAAATGGCTGCATTACTCAGTGCCCCCCAAACGTTTATTGTCCTGCAAGGTCTTACACAATCCCACAGGAAACCGCGCTCAACACTTAGCCAATACTTGTTGACCTGATTGAGCGCAACAAAAACGGAGACAAAAGCATATTTCATAAAGGTTCCAACTTTGATAACTACAGCTCCTGCTTTTCCCAGGCAGCTCTCGGGCACATGTGATAACCTCTCTTTGTTTGGAGAGCTCTGCGCTGGAAAGGACGAGAAAACATCTCGGCAAAAGCCCGCTTGTGATGCTGACTTCTCTCACACGAGTCAGGAAACCATGAGGTAACGCCAAAGTGTGCAGAGAATAAGCAATGAAAATTTCAACTCAACACTGGACCCAGGGAGGTCAGAGAGGATATGAGCGAGAAGGACTGTCAGATGATGGAAAAGGAGCACATTTCCACAGCTTAAATTAAGAAATCCAGAAATGGAAGAGAGATGGGTGTGGCTCACGTACCATGCACCAAAAGTGCAGTGAAAGAATGTGATTATCACTTGAATGATTTATGATGATCACTCTAATGATTTATGACATCACAACTTTTAAATTTTATTTTTTATTAAAAAAATTTTTTTATTGAAGTATACTTGAGTTACAGTGTTGTGTTAGTTTCAGGTGTACAGCAAAGTGACTCAGTTATACATACATATATATATATTCTTTTTCCAATTCTTTTCCATTATGGTTTATTACAGGATAATAATAAATATAGTTTATTATTGAATATAGTTCCCTGTGCTCTACAGTAGGACCTTGTTGTTTATCTATTTTATATAGAGTAGTGTGTATCTGTTCATCCCAAACTCCTAATTTATCCCTCCCCCCTTTCCCCTAGGGTAACCATAAGTTTGTTTTCTATGTCTGTGAGTCATAATATCATGGCTTTATTCATTCTACCATCTTCTGCAGTGCACACTGACTGTATGTAATCTGTAATAAGTCTAATGACTTATTTTAGGTTCAGCTATGGATGGTTGAGAAAATCATCCTTTTGGCATGCATTGACACACTATATTAGCTTATAAATTGTTGGCTACTTAAACTTATTTGTAAACGTCTGTGTTGTGATGAAATCTTGGGTGGGCAGAGGATGGTGAAGCCCCTGACTTTGAAAGAGGTATTCCTTTGAGTGGACACAGGGTGAGTATCATTTCTATTCATTCGTTCAGTCTTATTGAGAACCTACCATCTACCAAGCATTCTGTTAGGTCCAGAGACACAGCAGTAAACAGAACAGCGGCAGCGCACATCTTCAGGAGGCTTATGTCCAGTGGAGGAAGGACTACAAATAAAGATTTAATTACAGTAGAGTGTCTGAAAAATAAATATTTCTATTTGAAACTGGAATTTGGGGAACGACAGAGTCCTTCAGAACAATTCAAAAGAGGAGAAATTACACCCTGATAGCAAATAAGTCACTGATGGATTCCACATAGGTCTCCATCCTCTAGGAATCAAGTAGGCAGTCATTCGAGAAATTGATGGTGAAGCAGAGTGACAGTGGCAAAGCACCTTGGCCAAATAAATTAATTCTACACTCTGCTAATTCACTACCTTTCCCACATGGCGATTTGTATTTACTCTGCGGTTTGAGCATGGTAGCATGGCTGAAGATCAATTCTAGAATAAAAAGTCAGTTTAGGGGAGGAGAGGAGGACGTGGCAGAACGCTGAAAACACCTAGGCACGACCTCTTGGGATTCTCATCCCTTCTTGCGGCTTGAAACGCTCAGGGGCAGCTGGGAGGAGTGGTTTCCTCTGAGTCAAAATGTCCCAGATTTATGTATTTATTCTATTCATTCACTTCCTCTGCTACTTCTCCGGAACTTTTCTTGGGCTTTGTATTTTCCATGTCTTCAGTCCAATTCTAACTTGTTGTGGCAACCCACTGTTTCCATTATGTGATTTAATTTGCTCGGATTATGGTGTGCGTTGTCACCTCTACCCAGGGAGACCCATAGGAATTTTCTCTGAGCTTCTCTGCGTGAGCTTTTAGCACGCAACAGGTTTGTGTAGGGCTGCAGCATGGGGCGATTTGGCTTCACGATGTAAACAAGCTTGTTCAGTTGGGAGCAGTAGTGCTTACATTTTTAGAACAAGAAAGAACCTGATAGGATCCATTATGTGTGTGTGTGTGTGTATGTGTGTGTGTGTGTGTGTGTGTGTGAGAGAGAGAGAGAGAGAGAGAGAGAGGGAGAGGGAGGAAGAGAGAATGTGTCTGTCCGTGTTTCTTCTGGCTTCGAGTGACGTCTATTTTTCTCTTACTTTAAAAAATTCATTTGAGTCATGGCTTTAAACACCATCTATATACTTATGGTTCCAAATTTCAGCCAGGTCCTCTCCCCTGAATTCCAGACTTGTATTCGACTGTCACCTTGTCCATCTATACTTGGAATATCTAATAACCATGTCAAATGTAACATGACCAAAGGTGACCTCCCGACTAACCCCACAAACCAGCTCCTCCTACAGGCTTTCCTTCTCAGCTGAGAGCAAGTGTAGCCTTCCAGTTGCTCAGGCCAAAGAATGTGGAATCACCCTTGACTTTTACCCTTCTTTCACACCCAACATCTGATCCATCACGAAATATGGTTAGCCATATTGTCAAAATATATCCCAAATTTGGCCACTTTTCACCACCTCTACTGCTACCTACTGGTCTAAGTTGCCACCATCCGTCATCTGGAATATTGTGCTCGCCTCCTGCCTGCTCGTCCTGCTTCCACACTTGCCGCCTGCTGTCTGTTCTCCACTGACTAGCCAGAATGATGCTTTCATATGTAAGTCAAAGCCGGCCACTCCTCCTGTCTGAACTCTTCAATGGTTCCCCCTCTTCTGGTCCCCTAGTACTGTCTCTAACATCATCTTATGATTCTTCTACCTCACATTGCCACTCCTACAGTATTCTGAGCACCACCTGCCCCAGGGCCTTTGCCCAGGCTGTTTCCTTTACTTGGCAAACCATCACAGACATCTGACTGGTTCGTTTCCTCATCTCCAGGCTCTGCTTCAAATGGCATCTTCCTAATGAGCCCTACCTAGACCATCTTGTTACTACCACACCTCGCTCCACCCAGCACTCCCAATCTCCCTTACTCTGCTCTACTTTTTCTTTTTTTCATAACACCTAACACCTTAAAACTGACTACATAATTTAGTTATTTATTACCTTTAATATCTGTCTCTCCTCCCTGAGGGGTAAGCCCACAAGGGCTCTGATAGCTTTGCTCTGCAGCCTGAGCATTTTTCATGGGGATCTCTTCACTGGGGGCGTCACTCCGTCACCTCCTGCTCTTATGTCTCCTGGTGCTGAAATAATCTACTTGGAGGTTGGGATCTGATGTGAATAGTTTACACTTAACTGGAATCAAAGATGAATGTGTCATCTCTCCTAAGGATGCTTGCATATTAAACCTTAGGTTCAGTGGTGGAACCCGAGGTTTTTCTTCATGAAAGGAGATTGTGAGTGGAGGGTGAGGGTGGACACAGAAAGGTTTGTTTTTTGTTTGTTTGTTTTTCTTCCTTTTTTTTTCTTTTTTTTTTGGCCATGCTGCACGGCTTATGGGATCTTAGTTCCCTGACCAGGGATCAAACCTGGGCCCTTGGCTGTGAGGGACCACCAGGGAATTCCCTGTTGTGTGGGTTTGTTGTGCCTTTTCCCGACATCCATGCGATCTTTACACAGATGGTTGGCATTTTATCAATTTCACTCCTATTTTCTAGCGGAAGGTGAGGACTTGAGGTCTAGATGGGGTTGGCAAACTATTTCTACCACCTGTTTCGGGAAATAAGATTTATTGGAGTGAAGCCACGGTCGTCCGTTCACGTGTGAGGCTGCCCTCCTTCTCCAGCGGCAGAGTTGAGTTGTTGCGACAGAGGCCATATGCCCACAAAGTCTCAAACGTTTACTATCTGGCCTACATAGAAAAAATTTGCCAACTCATGCTCTAGAAGAATCCTGCCAGCTATGGAAGTGATCTAGTTGCTTGGAATTCAGCTCAACAGCTCAATTCAGTAGATCTTCACTGAACTGTATTGTGTACAAGGTGCCAGTTGGAAGCAAAGGAAGTAGGCAGAGGGGAGATCTTTATGGAGCCCTTCCAGCTACGATTCCCACTTCGATTCAAATGATTTTTTTCCCAAAACTTTATTATCAATAATTTCAAAATACAGAAAAGTTTTTTAAAAGTATGGTGAACACCCATACACTACTAGATTCTACAGTTACATTTTATTATATCTGCTTTGTCATCTATCTATTTATCCACCCTCTATCCATCCATCAGTCCACCTTATTGGTATTACTACTATTACTGTTATTTTTTGCTGCATTCAGAGTAAGTCACAGACACCAGTGGACTTCATACGTGAACACCTCAGAGTACATAACGTCAACGAGGATAGTTCAAATTAGCCTTTTATTTTATTTATTTTTAGTTATTTTCTTTTTATTGGAGTATAATTGCTTTACAATGTTGTATTAGTTTCTGCCACACAGCGAAGTGAATCAGCCATACGCATACACACGTCCCCTCCCTCTTGGACCTCCCTCCCATCCCCACCCCCCATCCCACCCATCTAGGCCATCACAGAGCACCGAGCTGAGCTCCCTGTGCTATACAGCAGGTTCCCACTAGCTAGCTATTTTACACATGGTAATGTATTTATGTCAAACCTAATCTCCCAATTCATCCCACCCTCCCCTTCCCACCCTGTGTCCATACGTCTGTTCTCTACGTCTGCCTTTCTGTTCCTACCCTGCAAATAGGTTCATCTGTGACATTGTTCTAGATTACACATATATGCGTTACTATACGATATTTGTTTTTTAGCCTTTTAACTTCAACCCTGTGATCTTGAAAGCAGCCTTCATTTGGCCAGAAGACACAGTCTTACACAAGCTGAAAACTGAGAAAGGTTATCAGGATAACTGAGGTTAAGTATCATTCACCTACATTTCTCCATTTCCCTGGTTCAGAGATGAATCGGCCTTTCAGG